AGGGATCGTGGAGACGTCAAACGGCGCGGCAAATGTCTCTTTGTCGTCGGCCGTGACGTATGTGATGAGCTGGTGCTCAAAGTAGGACAGAGAGTACATGTTTTCTGTCAAAGTCAGTGTCTGTTTTTTTATTTTTTTGTTCTTTTCTACAAAACATACCGTTCTTAACAAAGCGCGTCGACAGCTCGTCCGGCTCTTCCATTAACCGGAGGCTCAGAGTGGCACGGTCGCGGACCTCGTCGTCGACGTCGTCCAAGCAGCGCGAGAGGAGCACCTGCACGCTCTTCTTGACTTCGGGGTCCTTCTGGGCGACACCGAACTTGGCCAGGGCCGTCACAGCGGCCGCACGCACAATGGCGTTCTCGAGCACGACCCGGTTGTAGATGTAGCGGATGTACTTGGTCGGCTGCGAGGTCTTGGGGCCCTCGATACCCAGCAGATGCAGGATGCGGACGGCCAGCTTCGTGAACTCGCAGTCCTCGATGAACTCGCAGAGGTGGGCCAGGGCGTCCTCTTTGGAGTCCGGTACAAACTTAATCAGATCAAACATGCTCTCGACGACGGCGCGCTTAAACTCGTAGCCGCCCTCATCGCGCAGAATGCCGCTGAGGAAGGTGAGCATGCCAGCCTGCTTGCTGGGGAACTTGAGGCACAATGTGCGGATGGCCTCGACAATGGTAATCTTGAACTCATCGGTGATCTCGGACATGAACCCACTGATCTGCTTCATCAGGCGGTCGACACTGGCCTCGTTACCGGTCTTGAGCAGCGTCGTAATGGCAAACGTGGCAATCGACCGGTTGCTGTTGGAGATGAGCAGCTCAATGTCCGGGTTGCACACGTGCACGGCCTGGGGCTTGAACGAGGCAAAGTTGTGCAGGATGCGCAGGGCCGCAAACTTGGTGACAGCGCGCGGCGACGTTAGGAACAGCTGCAAAACGTGCACGGCCTGCGAGACCTCGGCGTCAGTCACGTCGCGCAGGTCGCAGATGGCCTTGGCCGCCTCGAAGTTGACCATCTCGCTCTTGTGGCGCAGCCAGCCGTCGAGCAGCTGCACCATGGACGGGCGCAGTGTGGGGTCCTCCTCGGCGAGCTGGGCAGCCAGGCGCACGAGCAGCACAACCGCCGCAGGGCTCTTGACGGCGCCCGCGGCACCAAACTGCTTGACCATCTTGACGAGAGCCATCTTGTCGTGCATGCGCATCTGGTACAGCAGGCCGATAGCGTGGTACTGGGTCATGGACGAGCTGTTGACCGGGGCCGCGTTCGACGACGAGAAGCCGAGCGAGAAGCCGCCGGAGCCCTTGGTGTTGGCGGCGGCCTCCTGGGTCTCGCTCTGCCAGCGGCGGACGACGTCGCGGGCAATGGGCAGCAGGTGGTAGGACGAGATCAGGGCGGCCGACGACACGGAGGGGGTGCGGTCGACAATGGCCGTCTTGATGACACGCTCGATGGACTGGACGGTGGTGGCGTCGATGATACGGCAGAGCGCGCGGATGGCGTTGGGCCGGTAGATGAAGTCGCCGCTGCCGCCGGTGTCCTTCATGATCGTGCTAGTGACCATGATGATGTCCTCGGCCGAGTGGGCGAGCTCCTTGATGACAAGGTGGACCATCTGGCGCAGGCTGGCATCCTTGTTCTGGAACAGCTTCGAGATGCCAAAGAACAGCTCCGTGGCCTCGGTCGTCGGGAAACGCTCGCCGGTGTAGAGCAGCAGGGCGATCTTGGTGAGCAGGATGCGGCATTGGCGCGGTTGGATGGGGGAGCGGTTGAAAAGACGAGCTGGAGAACGGGAACAAAAGACGGGTGTCAGTATGGTCTGGCCAGCAGAGGATCATTGGGATGCCCGCTGCCTTTTCCCGTGTAAACATGAAGCTATTCCCGGACTTGGAAGACAACGGAACTGACCTTCTTGGAAGACCTGCGTGCGGTCAACGCGCACGAGGCTGCCGTCGGCATCCTCGTCCCTCTTGCCGTAGTTCATTATGGACGGCAAAATGGCGGCAATGGGTGGACAGGATGGGGTGGTGGAAGCGATGGAAGTCGGTGGGAGGTTGCGAGGGGACACTTCTGCAAGCTGAGAATAGGGATATCGCGACGTATGCCAAATTCCCCCTTGCCCCACTTGCCTCACGCATTGGGGGGAAGCTGCACACCGATTCGAGAGTCACGTGCAAATTAGTGCGGCAGGCTGAAGCCACTATTAGGGTCACTGAAATAAGTGGCCATAATTTAGAGCGCCACATTTCACTAGCCACAATCAAAGTATGTCGTACTCGCTGCCGACAAGGTAGCAGCTTTTTGAATCGAATGCTTCATGTATGTGCAACGGCGAACATAAGTTCGATACTGCCTTGTATTGTAAATTATTACGACGGCACTCGAAAAAACAGATACAAAGAAGAAAGTACGGACCAACCCTTTCCCGTCTGAAAAAGAACTGAATGCGAACTATGCAACACGGTTTCGCCTTGGTGGTTGGGGGGGGGGGGAGGGAGGGGAAGCTTCGGCACCGTGGAAATTGCCTACATTCACAAAGCCGGTGGCTTTTGTGAGGATACTTGTGAGAGCAGGTTTTGCTTGCAACCTGTAGCTATGCCCTCTGCTCTATGGTCGTTGGACGTATACCGGACGGCTTCGCTGCCCTCTGTTTGTTTTCCGGGAAGCCCGTTTGGCCATCCCGTCAGGTCGCGGCTATATGATTGTTCACTGCTCCATTGCCTGTGTCAGTGATTCTAGACGTCGACAACTTCATAATGTGTGAATCCACTCGATACCTGTGCTACCAGCATCGCAATATTGCTATCGATCATGGCAGCAAAACGAAAACGGGAATGAGCGACTCACGCGGCGGGCTGGTGTTGAGTGGCCTTTTTGCCTCTCCTGATGTTTTTTGTCTTGCAGTTTAGCGAGAGCCATCGGCTCTGGCCCTTGTGTGCAGTACTCAATATCTACTATCCATCGGCCCATCCGTCTTACCCACTCGATTTTGATACTGCCGGCTTCAGTTCCTTTCCAATGCTGGCTCCTGCTGATTTTGTCCTCCGCACTTCACGCGTCAAATTGTTCTACAGTATACTTCAATTCAATAGGCTTCAAAACAGCCTAGGGAACGCGCCACTATGGGCCATGCTATGGCCACTGAGCCTAAACAGTGCACTCCACAGCCCTTCTTCATTGGCACGGCATATCCACTTGCCGAAGGAGCGCGGCTTCAGTCTGCAGATACAGAATCGCCATGACTCTGAGTCCTTCGCCTCCACTATGCGTGCATTCACGGTAGATAGGGGAACGTAGTACAACGGCGGCCGGTCTGACAGCGTAGAGGCCAGTCTCCGGTGGAAGGTGCATTCCGAGGGCTGATGACGCTGGACTGAATGGCTGTCGACTGCTTCAATGGCTCAGATGCATGTCACGGCAGGTACATCCCAGCATTGACTTTGAGGAAGGTGCGCTCTTTCAAGCTCGTCTCACTCTTTCCTGTTTTGTTCTCTCACGCCCTGCTGGCTGTCGGGCACATGGTGACATTAGATAACCTTTTTCGTTAGGCCCCTTCCATTTTCGTGGCCATAGAACGTACTTGCCTCGACTTGACCCATTAGACGTTTTACGAGGACCGCTCTTTCCATTGTTGGTGGCACGTCCATCCTTCCACATTGTCGTTCCGTTTCTTCCGGCTTTCTTTCTCGCCCCTTTCTCCTTTTCTGCGTTACTTCTATGCTGCCGATCCTTTTCTCTCTCCAACCAATCCTTTGATTTCTCGTCATTGTTATCATTGTTTCGTTATCCTATTCACATACCTGATGTCCTGCCATCCCTTTTATATGTCACCTACCTGCGGTGCATTCCGGCAGTGCCTGTCGTGTTCTGCGGCTAAAATTTGCAGCCACGACTTGCATCACCGCTTTGCACCATCTCCGAAAGCACTTCGCAGCCTACCTACCAACAGTGGCCGTCGGGCTCTCTCGAATATGAGCGAAGACAACACCTTACAAGGTTTCGAATTTGCTTTTATCTCGCCACTGTGTGCAGACCACAGCACTGTTCGTGTTGAGGGCCGGTTTCAAACCTATCTTGTTGGTTGGCAGCCACATTTTCAAATTGGGTACGTATCACACGTAAGACTCCTATGTCTTGTCGTATTTTTCAACGTTGATAAAAACTATTCCATTTGCTTCTACTGCTTCTTGCCATCGTGCAGATACAAATTTTGAATCTGTGCGATAAATTTTGATCTTACCATGCATCATCAACCGATCCCATTTTTCTTTTCGTGACATTTCCCACTGAATTGGGCCAGCATATTTGTCTGTATCTCGACACAAAAGAGGTATAAATTTACAAAACATCTCTCTGCAGATACTTCAGAATCTGGAGAGTATGAGAAAGCAAATTTCATTGAAATAGACCTATGGATGGTCTCGCAATGCTCCTATGACCACTTTGTGCATCATTTGCTTTCACCTCTGTTTTTGATTGCCAAAACACAACTGCTGCCTCCTTTTCCCGATACTGCTGCGAAAACACACAGCCCCAGGCCACAAGGTTACTGTAAATGGAAACTATGCGTCTGTTGTCTTTGTCTTTTTTTCTCTTGTCTACTTTCGACCATTTGACACCACCCTCAGTTTTTGCCAGCTTATAATCGGCGTTTTCGACCCTTTCCTTCCCCTGTATTTTGTTCTAGCTCCCATCTCGATGTTTTGCTTCATTTATTTGTTCGGTTGACATGTTTTATAAAAGCCATTGATCTAACATATTACTATTTTGTCGCTAGCCCTATCCTCTTCTCTGAGGGACATTACACTGAGGTGTACCGGCGTCCCATCCGACCGTACGAACAACTCCGTAACTTCATTGCCAACAATAAAGCAACCACCTCCCGACCACTCATTCCTGAACATCAGAGACTCCAGAGCTCTTACCTTGCTACAAGCCCCTTCAGCCAACAGATTTCACCATATGTAACTGCAGAGGACTCGGCCCATACATTAGAAGGCATGAGATCCACGTACCGTCCTCTGGGTGAGGCATACGGTGATTCATACCGCACAGCGACAAGACCTATCCTACAGTCCCGCTCAGCTGCAGTGGAACCGGACGTTGCAGAGACAGGCTCACTTTGCCAGCCTGGCAGCACCAACTGGCTCGTCCTAAGAGGTCGTGAGCAAGTTGAACCAGGCATGCGTCCCATTTCGCGCTTCCAGCCTGCCACGGTATATGAGGATGTGCCATACGATGGAGCAGTTCGCAACGTCTTGACAGCCTCAGTGCCGGCCATCATTGTTACGGCCCCGGAACCTTCGGATGAATATAGGCTGCACCAGGTGCAGTTCGGCTCGGCTCATCTCGTGGCCGGACGTGATGAGCTTTCTGGAGGCAACGTCATGATTGACCCACAGCTCATGCAGCCCGAGTCCCAAGCTCTTCTTACCACCACAGTCAATAAGGAGACCAGATTGTCCTATACTGAATGCCAAGTTCGTGGCGCCCAAGAACATGTTGACGATGAAATGGGAAACCTTTCCATGCAAACATGCCCACTTGCTGTTTCTGAAAGTGACTATGCTTCTGAAAGCGATGTTGCCGCTCAACCCGTGGCCGAGTCGCTGCATCCAAAGGCCCCTGATTTGGATAGTTCCGGCCACGTTCTGACCAAGTCTTGTCTTCCGGAGGTAATTGACTCAACCACATCTGATGCTTCCGAGCCTTGGTCGGCTCCGAGAAGTCAAGTGATTCTTGCTCAAAATGAGCACAAGGACGGCAACCATCACTTCTTGTCTGGAACAGTTACACCTGCGAACTTCACAGGTTTGGATTCGGATATGGGTAGAGAAGCCTCTAAGGCCCGCAGAAACAACCTTTTTGTGCAAGGCACAGCCAGTCTTCCTATAAGACCATCCACTCACAGAAACCCGCGCTTGGCGAGCGGGTACCAGCCTCCCCGTCAGCAGCTTTTGGATGACAGCGAGAAGCAGGGTCCGACACCTGATCCCAATCGCCCATCGAAGCACGCGGTCAGCACCCCCTCGAGCTCAAAGGAGAAGAGACGGCATCTTGATCCAAACAGCATCGCTGTTGGTGACAACTATAATGGTAAGAGCAGTCAACTCAAAGGCGGAGAGTCTACAGCAAGCGTTGCGCTCAGTGGTGTTTCTGAGAGCCCGTTCAGAGACGAAGCCGGGACAGACTACACTGGCAGCAACAATTCCCAGAATTGTTGCAACGGCGGACCAAGTTCAAACTTCGAGTCCCCGGAGGCTTCTGCTAATCGTCAGTACCATGACGAGCGCATCGAAAGTTTCCGGTTTGGCAGCGGCCTTTACGACGACGTCAACTACAATATGTGTCCTAGATTTGGCCAAAATTGTGTCCACGGAGAGGGGCTGCTCGGTATGTCCAACTATTTCCGTAACACCGGGGTCAATTTCGAGGAATCTGCGGAAAACGGCCACGTTCTGCTCGCTCCTATTTTAACTCCACGCCAAGCGGCCATGCCACCAGTTCCGACGGTCTCCCTTGCTCAAGCCAACTGGGAACACCCATCTGAATATGGGCAAGGTCAGCACCGCAGCCTACCGCTTGTTTCACCGTCCATGGGCGTACCGCACCCTACGTTCGAACCGGGCGACTTCTTGCGGATGTGTCAGGAAGAGCAAGCGAAGAAACAGCTTGTTGAAGCACAAGTTCAAGCACAGCAAGCAACCTTGAAGAAGGCCGAAATTGAGTCCCAGGCTCGTAGGCTGGAACAGGCTCAAGTCCAGGTACTTGCCCTTGAACAGCAGCTGGCAAAAGCCAAGCAGCTTCGCCAGACACAACAGCTACCCCAAGAGGAGCAGATCGGCCAGATGCAACAAAGTGCTGCAGCACAGCAAGTCTCTGTGCCGTCGCCACAACTTTTCCAAACTTCCAACACATTAGTTCAGGAAACGAACCATGCGGACTCATGGCCCACTATATATAGCCGGCAGGTCACACAGAATGGAAGTGACTTGCAAACTTGTACCCCTTCCCAGTCAATTGGGCAATCCACAGCGAGTCGTCTACAGGTCTTACCGCCCAGACTTGCGTCACAGGAGCCGTGGGAAGGCGATGACGAATTCTATGTCAACTCTTACATGTCGTCTTATCGACCGTTCCACAGCACTCAGCGACCGGCTACGGCTATGCACCAAGAGCAATCAAGCACCACAACTCATCAGCAACCATCTGTGACCCATCCACAATTGTCAGATACGGCTGAACCCTGGCAAAACTCTGCGAGTGGCATTGCCTCTGGTGAACAGCAGCATTCTGCAGATTATAACAGACCAGCCTGGGGAACGCGGTCCCAAATCGGCCCATACGGGTATTTCGAAGACGTCATGTACCCGCATGACAGAGATGATTTGGACTGAGTCTCCCAGAAACCAGACATGCAGCCTGACAGTGGTGTAAGCTTTATTTACGTAAGTCTCTGTCACGTTTTGATCCGTTTGCTTTTCGCGATAAACAACACCTGCTAACTATGTAGTTCCACTCGGCCAATCATATCGTGCGAATCTGATCGACACCGTACCTATATTTCCCTTTATGGCAGACAGCTAAACGGACGAGAGAGGCAAAAGTGCCGAGGGAGGCAACACATGAAGTATTGTGTGACAAGCATTCAGCCACATGGCTTTTCAAGGTTCAACACCTAACTTTGCTTTATATTTCGATATTTGGTTCTTTTCAAGATGGTCATTCGCTCGACCATTGATTTTATTACCCCCCCACCCTTCACAATGATCTTCTTTTCTTTGTTTGGTTTTGCAATTTTGACTTTTCGTTCACCTTTCGCCGCTGCCCACAGTACATCATCCATCCTTTGTTGGCATGCCTTTAGTAGCAACAACAATATGTGTGATCTGCTATACCCTATCCCAGGTTTTATGGTTTTTCTACTTGCCTGCACTGAATATCACTCATCCATCTTGGCCTTACCCATATCACCCTTACACTTTGAGGAGCCTCTGGAGTGCGCAAGACAACAAGACTAGTCTTTGAATCACGCAGGGCGCCTGAGGAACAAGGATGAGAATGTGGAGGTGCCTTACGAATTTCGATTTCGGTTCGGTTGTCCCTTTGTTCACTTCGAGTTTCCTCTTTTTTCCCACAGATGCTTGGTAGCATACGTCCACCATTGGTCCATATGTCCTCGTTCAAGAGCTAGCCCATTTGATTGTCGCTGGGAATCTAGGAAACCTACAGTTTCGACGTCAGATGGGGAGGATGGTCTCTAGGTATCTTGCATTGCAAGTCCCAGTGCCGATACCTTTTACAGTTTTCATTCTTTACTTTTTTCTTCTGTTTTGTCAAGCCAACCGAATGACGCATTCAACATCGCATAGTTCTGGGACAGTTTCGTTTGTTTAGCTCAGTTCAATCTGTTTAGCACTTTGTTCACAAAATAATCCAACAGAATAAAGCCATAACCTGGCACAGTCTACGAAGCATTTGACATAGACATTGTTGATGTAGCATTTTATTTTGTGCAAGCTTCTGCGCTGCTTAATCCTATATATATGTATATATATAAACTACTACAAGTACCACCCCTTTGCATGTCCATCCGGCCCTTTCCTTCACAACTAGCTGGTTTGGTCGTGATGTTTATTTCATCCCCACTAGCTTTTTTGTCGAAAGGAGGCACATACATCCCATCCACCTTACAGTAAACATAATACAAGTAGACAAGGACAAAATTTGGGGTAAAATGGACATGGATATGGACATATGTAAGCACAACCATGGAGAGAAAGTAGAAAACAGATAAACGCAAAAAGAATCACGGATGAAGGGACTGAAACAACGAAAGAGACAGAAGGAAAAAAGACAAGAAAAAAAAGCAATGAATGTATTTTTTATCCCGGTGCAATTAAAATGTTTGAGAACCCAAGGCGCAAGGTCGGTGACAAAAAGAAGAGAAAAGAATCAAAAGTATCAAAAAGGTAATGCTTCTAACGAGAGAGAGGGTAGAAGAAGGTCTGCCTAACCAAAGTATTCAGACAAAAAGTGGTATATAGTCAAAAACTAAGATGACGAAGCGAAAACGTAAAAAATGTAAGGGTAAGAAAGCTATTATGTATAGTCGAGATTTAGCAGAGACCTCTTTGCGTTACAGCGCAGGGTATGCACTACCAGGGATCATGCCGCTGGTACCGCCGGAGGTGCTTGTGCTGGGTCCTTGGGGACCGCCTGGTGGCCGGCGACCTCCTGCGCGCAGCGAAAAGTCCGGGTTGCTGTTCAGTAGAGTCTCGTTGGTGTCACGCACTGGCCGGCGCGGGACTATGCCACCCATGCCGCCGCCGTATCCGGGCATCAGGTTTGGTGGTGGTGGGTTCCAGCGCGGGTTGACGCCGCGCTGGGAGATGGAGGTGAAAGTCGACCGCTCAGACTCGGCTGGGCTCCGGGAGCCCTGAGGCATGTCTTCGTAGGAGTTGTTGTTGGCGTTCATGGCTAGCGGCGGCAGGTTCTTGCGAGGCTGGGCAGCCAGACCGCTCTGCTGCGGTTCGGCGAAGCGTGGGTCAACATCCTCGATGTAAGCCTCTGAAGTGGCTGGCCGGTCCTCGGGGAGCTCCGAGGCTCCGTGCACGGGCGAGTTGGCGGCACTACCGTTTTGTGCTTTCCAGGCAGCGCGTGGGGGCAAGTACTGACCGGTACTCCCCGCCTCGCTGACCTGAGATGTCCGCCCTTGCTGCAGGCTCACCATACCCGCAATGTCGTCGTCAGCCTCGGCAAAGCGGCTCGCCTGCTGGTGTTGTGGCTGCGGCGTGGTCGCATCCATCTCAACAGCCTGGCCCCGTGGGCTGGCGGCGCTGACATTTGCGACACCAATGTTATCTGGTAGCGGCGGCGGGGATTCTGCGCGCGGCAGATCGCCAGATGTGGACGAAGGAATCTCATTGCGGTAGGCATTGTAGCCATTGCCACCACCCATGCCGCCATCGTTTAAGCTTGTCCCAGAAGGGTTGCCGTAGTAGCCATTGGGGCCGGGGGAGCCTCGCGTGCCACCACCGTAGGCCCCGGCCTGGTCATACCGGTAGCCCGGAGGTGGTGTCCGGCCACGGCCGGGGCCTGGGTAGCCACCGCGACCGCCATATCCGCCTCTACCTCTGCCATTTGGCGGCGGACCACCGTACCCACCACGTCCACCCGGTGGACCGTAGCCTCCACGACCACCAGGACCAGGACCGTACGGGCCATAGCCCGGGCCGCCGCCGCGGCCACCACGGTAGCCAGGGCCAGGTCCTCCACCGCGACCTCTTTGTCCGGGAGACATGTTGTTCATCCGCTCTGCCGACGGACCGTGGCGCACACCGTACTCTTGGGGCGGTGGGCTGGCCGGGTTACTGCCGTACGGCAGAGGGTTGCCGTAGGCATCGCGCTGAATCGACCGACGCTGGCCAGCCGCGGCACCAACTGCGGCACCAGCAGCTGCACCAGCGGCGCCCGACATCATCATAGCCTCGGGACTGCCGTCACCATACTGGTTGCGCTGCTGCGAGTAACGGTTGGACAGCTGGGCGGGTTGGGAGGTAAGGGGGATCTGCTCGTCGCTGCTGGCGGCGTCCCCCTTCTCGAAGGAGTCGCCGTTGCTACCAGGTCCGCCAATTCGGGGCAGCGCGGGCTGGCGGGGTGCGGGGGACTGGGACTCGGCCATGACGCTGCTGGCATTGGCAGCGTTGACGGCGGCGGCGGTTTGGGCCTGGCGGTTGTAAAAGTTCTCACCGCTCATCTCGGCGTTAGCGGCGATGCGGCGCTGACGCGACTTGCGGCCTACGACGGTACGGCGCATGGCACAGGCGACGATGCTGCTGAGGCCGATGAGGATCACAGCAGCCAGGACGATGAAGGTGCCCCAGGCCATGTGGGGAACGAAGAGCAAGATGTCGATAAGGAAGGCGAGGAGGGCGGCAAGGAACGTGAAGATGCTGATGATGAAAACCAAGAGGAGGTAGCGAGCGGAGTGCGAAGCGGAGTGGAAGTGGGCGGCGATAGCCAAGATTAACATGACCAAAGTTAGGAAGGCGGCGACAGGGTGGAGCACGAGGACGGTCGACAAGGTGGCGCGTGTTGAACCTGGCAGGTCGAACGTGGCCGACTCCGTAGAGGAGAAAAAGGATGCTGCAATATGTCAGTAGGTGCACGACGGGGGAGGCGATGATAATCTATAATGACGAAGAGAAAACTAGCAAGGAGACAACGTACAGGTATCGTAACCCAGCTCGACGCCAGTGCAGGAGCCATCGGGACGGCAGTAGCCAAAGACACCAAAGTTGTAGCCCTGAAAAGACCCGAGCGGGACGCCTTTGATCAATGGCGTAGATAGCACGGAAAGGAGGAGCAACACAAATGCCGCGAAGAGCATCACCGTCAATGGGGTCGCGGGGCGAATCATGTTGGCGGTTGTGAGAAGGCGACCGGAGGGAGAGAGAGCGAGATAGAGAGGAGCCCTCAAAGGGCGTGCGCATACGCGCTCGGGACGTCACTGCTATAGGTGTCCCTTGTCAAATGGATCAAACCCGAGTTTAAGAGTTTATGTATGCCGTCTCGGGTGCCGAAGGTTGTGAGAGAGGTCAAACGGAGTCCGCGTCGGCAAAAGCGAGCACATCGACGCAAAACGAAAGCCGACCAATTCGACGTGTACGGCACGGAGTAGATAGGAGACGACGTAAGGAAAAGCGCCCAGTCATGCAGATCGACAGACAGTTTGTCGGCGAGGTTTGAGAGAATTCAGTGTTCCGATTCGTGTCCACCGCCGAGATGCACATGCACTGCAGGACGAGGTCGCACAGGAGAAGGCAATGTTCGCGTTTCAAGACAATCGGGGTCGAAAAGAAGTGTCGAAAACAGTCGAGAGAGAACGGTGCGAAGAATTAGGGGATAAGAGGGCGACAGGATAAGAGAAGTGAAAGAGGGTCGTCGAGTTCAAAAGTGAGTGAGTTGATAGATGAGTCGGGGGCAGCAACCAGGCGCGCAACAATCAAAGAACGCGAAACAAATAGGAGACACAAAGAAAATGAGGCCGAACGAAACACAAAAGTCGACAGTCGAAAGACGAATTCGAAAATTCGAAAAGATAAAATATGGCGAGGTAACCGTCGAAGAGATCTCAGAGAGACCGGACACAGCGAAAGGACGGGATGTAGGCGAAATGTCCTTTCCGAGGCGCGACGAAGGGACAAAGAAAGAGTGAGAGTGAGTGTGAGAAGATTCAAAACCACAGGGAGATAGTGAGGGCGGGCGAGAGATTGGCCAGCCTTTAGACGCGATATTGCGACACTGGTTGTTGGAGACAGCAGTAAAGTGGGCCGTTTAGTTGATGTGGGAGCGACAGACACGGCTATGTGGAAAAACCAGATTGAGGTACCCGTAGTAGCAGAGGCCAACGGAGGAGAGGAAGGCTTAACCGTCTCCAGTATTTTTCGTTTCCTTTCCACTTTTTTCTTTTTCTTTCCAGGCGAGGTTTAGTTCAATGGGTCAAGTCGTGTCCGAGTATGTAAGATACGGGGAACTGATGGGTACTGAGCATGGTCGATTGCGATGAGTGACGCCACACGTACGGCAGCTGAGCATTCGAGGTCGGATTGGAATGCGGCTGTGGTCGATCGACAAAAAATTATTGAGGTGAAGCAAAAAGAAAGTTGACAAGAAAAGGAGACAAGAATAGGGAAGTCGACAAACTACGAAAAGGGGAGGGGGAAACATCTACTGTATAGCCGCGATATAGGCAAGAGCCTGGACAGCAGAGACGAAGACTGGGAAGGTGCTGGTGACAGTCTGAACGGACCTGCAAGGGAAGGAGGAAAGGGCGACGCGAATGGGGAAGGTGCGAGTGCATTGGTGGTGGGAAGCGATGGTGTACTTAAAGTACAAAGATATTGTGCAGCTTTATGTGCGAAGCAAGTACCATTCGCACCGTCGTTGTACCTCTTCAACAAAAGGTGTGATGCAGCCAACACGATAGCGCCTTTCCGGACAACTTTAGTGTCCAAAGAAAAGGGGATAAATATAGAGTGGCGCGCTATGCACATTCTTGTTTACTGCATGGCGCATTTCTCCAGTGCTCAATTGCCTTTTCTCCAGACGCTTGCCCCTCCGCCAGCAGCGACCGGATGGCTGTGCCTGGCTAGTATTGGCGTATGTCGTATGCGTGATAGGATACTAAATACTGGGTCAAACGTAGCAGGATCCAATCCGCTCCAGCGCGATTACTACTGGCTCAGAGCTTGTCGCAAAACCGCTGCCTGCAGGAGCGGCCCTGCCAAAATACACACTTGTGACGCAACCTGATGCAGGTGTGCGTGCAGAACCACGCTGAACAGGGAAAGAACGAGGCTCAGCCACCTTTTGTTGCCACAGAACGATGGGGAGACTGAGACGAAAAAGACTGGCCTGGCCTGCTGCGATGATGAGGAACATTGCCATGACAGAGAACCACCTATGCAAAACGTCACGCCTCGTCGCAAGTCTGGTCTACGCCTCTTTCATATTTTTGATCCGTTGTTTGTCGCTATCCATTCCTTGTCCAGTATGACTGGATCCCGTCTGCCCTTGGTCGTACCTACCCGTCTGCTTCCGTTCTACTTCACTGTGTCCCGCATCCCAGCAACGTCCCAATAAGGAGGGTGCGGACCTGGCCCTGTTGGCGACGCTTTCCGGCATGCCAGTTAATTTACTGGTAAAAAGAGACGGCAAGGATAGTATAGACTTTTGATGTTCCACGTTGTGCCATAGCACGGAATGAGAGACGAGGACTAAAAAGCAAGAATGCAAGTATTGCGATGTTAGCAAACCATGCATGCATGCACGGGGAGGCTACATCGCTTGCCTCCTACGTCGTGGTCTTTTGTCGACATTGGCCAGACGGCGTTGCGGTGCACCCAGCCGATGGGAAAGGGGAGTGGGGCCTTTGAGGCCCGTTGTCCACTCTTTTGGCAGGACGGACGATAGATGACAAGGTTTCGCAAGTCTTGCAAGTCAATCGAATACGTCGTAGAAGAGACTAGCAGACTAGGAATGAGGAGAGAGACAAGGGGCGGGAGATTGGCCAAGGATGGGCTAGTTATAGCTAGCTGGCTTTACTCAGTAATGAGATCGAACGAGTGACGACGCTGGACGTCGAAAACATGAGGAAAATAAGGTGTCCGGAGCACGACATATTGAAACACTGTCGTGGAATGGAAAGCCTCGCCCAGAGTGGTGTAGATATGGTGATTTGCAGACGTGGGTGAAGAGAATTGTTCCTTCCTTTGGTGGGCAAGGAGCGCTTTCCAAAACGAACCGTGCCAAACAGAAGAAGGTGCAACCCGGCAGTTGGCCAATAAAGGAGGCGGCCACAAAATGGCCATGACGAAGCCACAGAGGTAAAACAGGAAAGAACGAACCATCGCAATCTTTTGTGTATTCAGCTGCCTTCGCTTCTTTCATCGGGGGACGTCTTGATCATGCCAGACCTGGGAAACCTGACAGCACATAAGTGACAGCCTCGTTACCCACTAAGCCAACCGAAAGAGCGACAGAGATGGCTCTTGGCCTTGGTTATCGAGGCTATGCCGCTCTCACTCTCGAATCTTCATTAAGATTGCGACAGTACAATCTATCCCCACGGCCTTGTCCCAAAGTAGAAGGACCGGCTGTTGCTCTTCAAAGCAATCCCGTTTCTACACAAGATATGCGCCCAACTCAATATTAACTGAGATAAAAAACGGCAAGCCACAAAGAGGGAACCGATAAGTACAACGTACGAATCCACTGTCTGTTGTTGGAAGGACAGGGCAAAAGATGAACAGTATTGTGATGCTCGACGCGATATCGTTGGGAAATCGCAAAGGGTGCATTTGCTACAAAGGGCAAGAGCGGCAGAGCGGTGGAGGGTCGGGCCAGCTCTTGCTCACTGTTCATGCTCCCGATCGCCAATTGCCTCATTGCTGAGTATCACGAAACCCCATAACCCAACTGTAGGCTCACTGCATTGGCCCAGTTGCAATGGCATTTGTCAGGCCCTGCAAAGTGCTGGCGGCTCATGGACATCCCATTGATCTGGCCCGCTTTACTCTCCTTTTCATCTCTTTTCCGCACCAGGTAGACCAGCGTCAGAATATTTGGCCTGGACAAGGATGCCGTGCCCTGTCTGGCCCTGGTCAAGTCACAGATTTGGGGAACGAAGGAACAGGAGTGAAAACTATCGACGCGAACGGCAATTCTAAACTCCAACGATCGCTTCTGCAGTTCTTCTCACAAACGACAACAAACCCGGTCAAGAGGGGCATCGATTTCCGTCTTTCTTCGCTTGACCTTTCACAATTCATATGTAGCTCTGTCTGCTGAGAACGTGTGTTTGCTTTTCTGAGATCTACGCCGCAGTTTCTGGTCTCCGCCCAAAACACGTTACAGAATCCCACGGGTCAACTTGTTAGGGAAATCTCAATGTATCTCTCCCCTTGTTTTCAGTCTGTGATACACTTCGTTCAAGCTTTCCATTCTACGTCGTAGTTTGCTCTCTAGACCAGGCTCGCATAAGAAACGAGGAAACGAACATAAGAGCGGCAAAGGGCGACAAACCGCGTCTGATACACCGCGTCCGAACGGAGAAGACAAGCGGCCAGGGTAGAACACTCCTCCTCGTTCCCTGGTCGTTTTAAGTTTCTGATGTTCCAGAAGCAATCCCAAGATAAAGTTGCTCAGCCACAGTTCCTACGACTGGTTCAGCTCACGTTCACATCTCAGTACTTCATTTGTTACTACAGTCGTGCAAGAAATGAAACTGTGAAATCGTCGCGAAGTTTATGAAACTACCTATACATTGCTCGCTAAGATATGCCGTACTCGTCAAGACATTCTTCGAGATTCCTCGAATATCCACTCCCAACACAGCAAATATAACAACCGACCTCTGTACTCAGATTCGCTGATCACCTCCAAGCCGGCCTTGGGTCAGTTCTAGATCAGGTACACGATAGCTACTGAGACCACAGCTGCCATTGCCAGGGCCATCGCCGGCTTTGTTATCGCCGTCGATGTGCCTGCACTCGTCACAGAGTACGAATAGCTGTGAGTGGCAGCCGTCCGTATGCCGCTCGGTAGGCTGTCGCTGAGCGCTGTGCCTGGCACCGTGCCAGAAGGCAAGCACGATGCCGTCACAAAGACCGTCCCTACGGTCCCCATACCGAGCACGCTGGTCGAGTTATCAGCAAACGGCGGGGACGAAGAAAACGCAGTTGTAAATATCGTCTTGGTGAAGGCCACCGTGACACTCGCCGTCTTGGTCACCACATCAACGGGAACGTGCGTGGTTGTCTGGCTTGAGATGTCCAAATCCATCGCGGCGTCCTCTGTGTCCTGCTGGAGATGTTCGTACAGTACCTGGTACAGAGGCGTGCCGTCCTTCATAGAGTTCGATTTTGCAAGCTCGACTCCGTGCACCATCATACCGCCGAAGCTCGCACGGCCCTTGAACTTATCGGCCAGAGCGATGGCCTGCTCATCATTCATGTAGCCATTGACGTCGTTAACAGGTGGGAGTCCAATGTACAGCAGAGCATCTTTGCTCATGCTGTTACCCACAAGCAGCTCCCATGCTTCATAGTTAAATCCCGAGCTGCCAGCCGGGCACAGGTCGTTGCCGAAGAACGGGATCCAGAGTTTGTCGAATACGACCGTCGCTATCAGGTCTTTGATCTGCGAATAACCGTCCGCCATTGGACAACGCGGTGCACCAGTCATGATCATGGGCTGGCCTTTCGTCACAGCGTTGTGGCCATCCATGTACCAGCGAAATCGGTTGAGCAGCGTAGTGTAACCGTCCGGCTGCACGAACGGGACGTCGATATCAAAGTCAAAGCCGTCTACCACGGTGTGCGTGCCACTATCGTCTAGATCGAAAGGACGTGCGCCTCTCCACGTCTCATCATATGGCCCAAAGGCCTTCCAGAGAAACTTGGCAAAATATGCACCGTCCGCTGCAGTCGTGACCTCATAGTCATTGGCCGGGTCCTGGACCCAGGGGCCACCAACCGAGAGGAGCACTTTCTTGCCCAGGTTTTGGCAGTGGAGAATGTCAATGCCCAGCTGGGTACAGTCCGATAGCAGCCGCGAGGGTTTGTTGTCTACCCAGTCGTAACTAAAGTCACAATTGTTACCAAAGCTGATCGCCGGGTAGTTTGTTGCCGGGTCTGCCTCAGACGACGCCGTCACATACGCAAGGACAACCGTGTCGAATCCTCCAGCATCACAGAGACTGCCGAGCGTGTTTATCCCAGATCGGCCCTGTAAAATGGAGCGAAAAAAGGCGACTTGTTAGACAAACAGGCACTAAAAAGTGAGCAGACGACACTACTGTATGTTGTACGTACAAAGTACACTGCCACACCAGGTTTCTGACCATTCGCCATACCGAGAGCCGGTACCCCGGCGCCGGCAGCGAGGAGAAGCTTGGTTGCGTGCATGTTTTGCAACGTTTGTCGATGATGACAAAGTGAACGTCAGTGGAATGTGAAAAGGTGAAAACGAGCGAAATGTGGGTACAGGATCTGTATACCACGAAAAGAAAACAAGAAGAAAGAGCAAAAGAGTGACAGGAGTCGGCCGGAAGAAGCAGACAAGCTGCCAAAATACGACGCTGAGGATGAAAAGCAGAGGCTGAGGGATGCTGGGGGAGACAGGAGAGAGAGAGAGAGAGCAGGGAACGAAGGGGAGATATATTTTGCGAGGCGATTGTCTTTCTTAGAGGAATTTTCATATAAATTTGTGAGTTGTAGAAAATGGAAGGTGTGCTGAGTTGACAAAAAGGGAAGGAACGACTGGTCGTCACCAATGATGCCCAGACGTGTTTTGATCGCGGGACCCGGCGACAAGGCAAACAAGAAACTGAGGGCTTCTTGACTTTGCGACGACTTTCTTCTTTGAAGCCATGCTATTGCAGAGGATTAGGTCATGTAGCTCTGAGTTGCGCACGTGAGCAAGTCCACCAACGGCGACAAGCTTCAAAATCGAGCAGCATCGTGAAGCGATGTACAAAACGAGAGTTTAAGGGTAACAGCAGAAGAGGAAGAAAGAAAAAGACAATACAGCCACCGAGCTACCTTTGTTGTCCAACAACTGACCCTATCCATAGCTTACCTATCTTTGTTGACACGACGACAAAATCAGGTTTGTGCTCTCGACCCCTTTGTTGAGGCTACAAAGGAGCCAGCAACGTGAACAAACAAAAACACGCACATCTTCCATGAACAATGCACAGAGAAGCAATAGCATTAGTCTTCTTGGGATATATAAACATCACTTTCCCCAATCAAGACCTTCTGCGCATTCTCTCTTTTGGATTTCGCGGACAATAACATTGCGGTCACCGCAAAACACAAGCACAGCGGCCAAACCGTCGCGTAGCTTCGTCAAGTTTTTTTTTTTTTGTTTTTTGATCCTTACTTTCGTCTTCTTCTGTTTGATATCTTCTAGCCAGTCCCTTTTGCTCGATTTCTATTTCGTTTTTGCAGCGTTCTGTTTCACAGTTTTTTAGAATTTGTGTCAATTGTTTTTTGATCGACTGTTTGCACGGTTTTCAGTTCATTTCGTGCCATTTTTGATACTCAACCATGGCTTGTTCAGCTCCCACCTCTCCCACCATTCCCTTTTGCGAGCTCTCCAATAACTCACCGCAGTCGCTCCGTGCGTTGCGGCAACCCCTCCCATTTGAAGACGTCCCCAAGGACACTTCTCGCAACCTCCACTCTCGGCGCCGGCGCCGGCAGCAACGGCACGCTTTTTCTATTGGATATGGCTCTTCGCAGACGACTTCCTCGTTTACCTCCGACTCCCCTCTCATCGTCCAGTTTCACTCGTTTCCACCGTTTCGCAAGAATAGCGGCAAGTTCCGGAACTGCGTCACCAGTTTCTTCACGCATGTTACTCGGCTCGTCCGTGGCGGAACGGCCCTACTCTGGCAGCCTCTTTCATCTCACTCACGTCCGGACTCTCCCTCCTCAACTCCGCTTCTTTCTTCTTTCCCTTCACCCATATCGTCTAAACAACCTGACAACGACCATCGAAGGTCTCCAATTCGTTTTCTCGTCGATTGGACGCTCGATATTGTGGACGATGACCACATCGGAGCCTACACCAAGGCCGTCCGTCTGCTACAGCCGTGTCTCGATTTCCAGGTCGACCCAGTCTTTAACTGCGTCACATCCAACATGATGTTTCCAACGCCTGTGCTTGTGCTTCCTCCCGTCAACTGTGGTAGGTCGTGCTATGGTGGGTCGATGAGATCGTCACCACCGTCAAAGTTGCAACGGGAGACAGGCTCCAAGTCCTACGCACCGCCTCCCATGCCCCATCGCGGTCTGTCAAACACATCTATGGGCCCGGTTGCTTTTGTCGATTGACGGTTTCTCCGTGTCGCAGGTCCATGTGACGGGCGATCATAGTTTCGATGCAACAGGATTTTAACGTGAGTGGCATTTAAAAAAACACTATGCGATTGTTCAAACGGTAAGGACATAGACTGGTAAAGTTCATTTTAGTCCTCCCTAAATGCAATCACTTGGCTTAGTTTGCTGTTCAATATGATAAAATAAATGTAAAGAATGTGGATATTGCTATAAAAAAATGAGTATATGACCAAAAGATCGTCACCTATCGACTACGACGGCTATACATGAAATAATGCTCTTATATCTGATTAAGTTTTGCCTGAATTTTATTTCCCATCCTTCACGCCGTGTCCAGGACAACAACCTCGGCATCGGCCGCGCCGATGCTCTCAACCGTCAACTTGTCACCGGCGTTGACGAGATCGACAAAGGCACCATCACCCTCGTCCAGGATGGCATCTTCACGGCCGTCTAGGCGAATGCGTGCGCCGGGACCGCCGTTGGTCTTGTGCTTGGTCGTCATGGGTAGATGCACAAACACCTTGCGCTTGTTGGCCTCCGTCACAGCGCCAGGTTGGCCCAGACCGACCGTCCAAGTAGCCGTCTTCTGGGGCGCCAGAAGAGTGGCTCCCATACCAAAGTCGGCGTGGATTGGGATGGTACCGGGTACCTTGGGCACGGCGGCGGCCTCCTCGGCAGCCGTCGCGTCCGGACCGGCAGCGAGCGGGCTCAGGATGGGCACAAACGCGCCTTTCTCAGCGGCAGCGCGCTTGGACTCGTCGTTGAAGTTGGCCGTGTGGTAGTTCGGAGGCAGGCCGCGCTTCCATGGGACAGCCCAGATCTGCAAAAAGTGGACGGGATCTGTCTTGTGCTCGTTGAACTCGCTGTGTGCAATGCCCGTGCCGCCCGTGGTGAACTGCACGTCACCGCGCTTCACGCGATAGAACTGCTTTGCGTTGACACCGTCCTCGTGGCCGCTGCGGACCATGGAGTCGCGGTGTGTCAGCTCACCGGAGATGCCATAGCTGAAAATCTCAAAGTCGCGGTGCGGGTGCGTGGGGAAGCCCGACTCGGGCTGGACACGGTCCTCGTTCAGCACGCGCAAAGATCCGAAGCTTTGAAACTTGGGGTTGTACCAGTCAGCAAAGGAGAAAGAGTGGTATGTGTTGAGCCAGCCATGGTTAGAATGGCCGCGGCTAGAGGACCGATGCGGCTTGATGGTGGCATGGGGCAGACGGTGAGCAGCGGCCGCCGCCTTGGCGACAGTAGAGGCAGCAGTCTTGGCGGACATGTCTGTCATTTTCGAGGGAGATGGAGATAGAGGTGGCGGTGGGGGTGTTTGCCGGGATGTTGGCTGTGTTGTTTAGAAGATTTGGTTGATCTGCCTTTCGGGGCGAGGTTGATGTGGGCTGTGTGAGTTGCTAGCTGTTGATGCTGTTTTCCCCAATTGCTTGATTGATTGCAATTCTAATAACGAGATCGAGAAATAACAAAACTCAACAAATCGAAAGGCGAAACGTCCTTATATAGATATGTCCATCCCGTGGAGATACGTCGAGAAGCTGCTCGGCATTCGTTTCATCGGCGATGCTGAAGCGTGCGCATTGGGTGGTCATCACCACCAATCATGGGCTGCTCCATTTCAGCTTCTGTAAGTCTCTTGTAAGCAAAAAGCATAACATATATGACGCTGTGCGTAGCTAGACGAAGACCAGGCGACAAGTGGCTGGAATGGCGTGGAATCCACTAAACCGCGGGTCGCCGAAACACCATGTTATTCCATTTGTTGAGCATGACAATTCAGAGCCCGCCGTCAATTCCCACAGAACTGTGCGTTGGCTAAGCGGCCGTTGTAAATTTGGGTGTCACTTTGCAGCAATTACTTGATGCTGACAATCACATTTGATGGGCGAGTTTCGGCTGACAAAGGTCTGTCAGCGCGATATGATTGGCCAACCCACTTGTTAGTTTTCTAATTAGTGCGGTACTTGTTATTGCGCATGGTTTTGGTGTGGAACTAGGTATCTTTCATTTGGGGAGGGGATTTGCCCGCACATTGAAAGTCGGCACACATCTTTGCAGGTCCGACGATGATGCTGGCAGTGGATGCTGTTGGGAAACGGTTTCATGAAAACGGTCAATTCAAGCGTCCGAATGTCCTGAGACATCGCCTGTACGGCTGGCCAATGGGCTGACCAATATACACAAAAAATATGCCAAAAAAGTATGCCAAGAAGGTATGGTGTATGCCAGAAAATTCTGCAAAAGACTATGCCAATGACTATGCCAAAAGAAAATATGTTCGCCATTACCAAAGAAGCATAGGACTGGAAACATAAACAAGAGACGCCAGTTCATAAAGGTACACAAATGATATATGCAGTGCAGATCACAGGTCCCGACTAGGGACGGTGAAAAGCAAATGTTTCGAGTTCGGGCGTCGAGTGTAAACAGCGGACGGCGAGATGAAAAGCAGGTAATAGAGGGTAGCAGTGGCAGGGGCAGTCGACTATCCATCCTGACTAAACCGTGCCGTAAGACGTCGCCGAGCCGTTGACAGACGAGCCAGCGGTGGGCTTGATGGCGTTGCGTTTCGGCGAATAGAGGCGGAACTGGAAGAATATTATAACGTCCTCGACAATGGTGCCGAGCGAGCCCAGAAGCCACGGCAGCGCGTTGAGGAGGTACTTGCCGTCTTGGGAGTAGGCCACCAAGCTGGCTCCGTAGGTGAAGTTTCCTGTCAGGGACAAAAGGAAGAAGAGCAGTGCCAGGCCTATAACACACAAGTCGTTAGTCAAGTGTATTTGTCCAATTGAGCCCAATAGTCAACATCCCTGTCTCATGCTTTCAGCTTACCTTCACAGGACTTCTCGCGGTAGTTCTTCAAGATCTGCGGGATGCGAGCGCACAGGTAAAACACGGCGCTACAGTAGCCAAGCGCCAGGCCGATCTTGGCGTACACGTCGTCCTCCTTGGACGGCGCCGGGTTGGCAGCATTGCCGCCACCACCATCCACAGGGTCCGTTGCATCCCATGCGCCCATGCGGTACGACACAAAGTAGCCCAGCGCGCCCACAATCCACACAGCCACCAGGCTCAACGTGTTATGCAGCCAAGGGTTGCTGTCGGGGGTCTCATCTTCGCCGGTAATGATGCGGCGCAGGGGATCCAGGCTGGACTCGGACCGGCGGATCGAGTGACGGCGGTGTGAGCCAGGCAGGCCGATGCTGGAGCTACGGCGGCGGGCCAGAAGCGGACTATCGTCCTCGTCCTCCTCGCCCTCCTCGGAAATCACCTCCTCACTCACGTCGTCATCACCACTTTGGCCCGCTACGGCCGTAGACGAGCTCCGACGCCGTGTGCGGCCCTGGCGAAGCAGCCGATCCCGACGAGCGGACTTTGTGTTGTAGTAGAGGCACTGGGTGATCAAGACGATGTCGGCAATGCAGAAGTAGAAGGCGAGGGCAACGGCTGTTGGTGCGAGGCCGGTCCAGAGGGCGCCTGATAAGTTTGTGGCATCACCAAGAAGCCAGACAAAGAGGAATGCCATCGATAGGCCATCCGCGCTTTGGCCCTTGTAGTTCTGGATCAGTTGCGGTAGCTACGGTCCGTCGCGTTAGTAGAGTCGCCTATTTGATCTTCATGCAAACCAAAAGACTCAAAGCACCTACCAGTAGACATATCCATGCTGTTAAGCTGACGCTGCCAAATATGCCAGAGAGTGCTTCCCGGATAGTCGGTTCGGGAGAACTAGTTTTTGACTGGAGCGCCGCAGCGGCGACTGCGGCTGACCGAGCAGCGAGCGTCGCAGCTGCTGGTACGCGAAACACCACCATCGCGGGGGCTGTGAACAGAAGTAAAGATGAGTTTTGGTGTCGACTGTCGTGTTTTGAGAAAGAATCGAGCCGAAAGAGGGGAAGGAAGACGTGAAGTCGAAGAAAAGACCGCGGGCCTTAGAGTTCGGGTGACAGAAGAAGAAGGGCCGAACGAGCGATTGTGCGTCTCAAGGCAGGTGCAGCCCGGCCGCTCTTGCTCGTGAGATGATAGAGAGAGGCGTAACACATAAAATAAAGACGTGTGCAGCGACCAGACGTGGTTGGACAATGTTCCGAATTTGACGTGAAAGTCAAAGCTGAGAAAGAAGAGGAGAAAAGCGGGCTGGTGGCGATGCAGTGTTATCGCGCGCCAAAATGACACAGAGCCAAGGCAAAGATAAGACACGAGCTACGCCATATGACCGCGGCAGAGGCAGGAAAATCCCAACATGGAAGGACCCCAGGTGTCGCCTCCTCATCAGCGAGACTTGAAATTTCCTAATTGGGGCTAGTGCCAATCAAGCTCAGCAATACGGAAAGACACAGTGGTTGTCGCATCTACGCACTATGCGACGTCACGGGAAGAACCGAACAACGATTATGACAGCATAGGATCCAACAATCGATTCTGTCCCGTGCCAGACGCGAGGATTTCGATCATAGCTCACGAGACGTGCTTCTCAAGACATAAGATTCTGACTCTGCGGCCTCAGCCAGCCACATCCTGCCCAAGGCAATCTATTTGGATTAAAACGGCGGCTATTTTCGGATCCCCTGAAACAGTACGAAGTACACGAGACACACGCATTTTACAGGCAGGAGAACAGTGTGCCTGATCCGTTTTCCGCACGTGCCTTAGCACCGCCTCCCATTCGCCCAGTGCAGCCTATTTGGAGCGCAGTGGCTGCAGTTGGCTGTAGCCACAGCTGTTGTTCCTCTAGCAACTCAGGGCAAGAGCAAGCAGCAACCAGTCATATAGCAGCGAACGACCAGCTTCTGTGACAAGCTCAAGCAATTCAGCCCTACCTTTCGGAGCTGGAGGCAGGAGCATTTCTTGGCTTTGCGAAGGGGCTTTCAACAGAAACAACGACTTGACGGACGCATTATAAGAAGCAGGAGCTCGCCAGAAACGCAATACAAAAGGAGCACGCTCAACGTGCTACGCGCCCAACCTCTTGTGTCTCGCCGATCGTCTTGACTTCTCCCTGCCTATCGGATCTCCACCTTTCACCTTCATCTACAACCTTAGATCGCATTCGAGCGTCGATTCGAAAACTGCACAGTACTCACAAACAGTCCGACGACACACCGACCTTGCTCCAAATTAACCGTAACGCATCGTTATTCCTCAAATCATGAAGTTCGCTGTGCCTCTACTGGCATGTGCTACAGTGCTGCCCAGCGTGGCAGCTTGGGGAGGTAAGAAACGAAAATAGTATTAGATGAGAGGTGCATTTGACGGCGTCTTCTGCGATGCAGCATGGATTGCTATCGATCATGCCTCCCCTTCTATGTACACACCATACATACAGGTCATGAATGTGCTTTGCCCTAACCATTCCGCCCAGGCTTCGGGCACATCACGATCGCCTACGTGGCCAGTGCCTTTGTCAAGGATGAGACGGCGACGTACTTCCAGACGCTGCTGCGCAACGAGTCGTCAGACTACCTAGCCAACGTGGCGACGTGGGCTGACAACATCCGGTATACCAAATGGGGCCGCTTCACGGGGCCGTTCCACTTCATCGACGCCAAGGACGACCCGCCGTCCAGCTGTGATGTGATCATGCAGCGCGACTGTAAGAAGGAGGGCTGCGTGATCTCAGCGCTGCAGAACTACACGTCGCGGCTGATTGACGCGGACGGCCAGCTGCCGCCCTGGGAGCACGAGCAAGCGGCCAAGTTTATCGTCCACTTTGTTAGTGACCTGCATCAGCCGCTGCACACGGAGGACGTGGCCAAGGGCGGCAACGGCATCCACGTCAAGTTCGACAATAAGTTCTTGAACTTGCACCACGTGTGGGACACCAGCATTCTCGAGAAGCTGGTGGGCGGTGTACGGGGCTCGCCTTACGGCGCGGCGCGGCAGTTTGCGGACCAGCTGGTGGCGGACATCCGGGGCGGCAAGTTTGTGGCGGAGAGCAAGAACTGGCTGGACGGCATCGGCCTCGCCGATACGGAAGGCACAGCGCTCATCTGGGCACGCGAGAGCAACGCATATGTTTGCACACACGGTATGTGTCTCGACACGACAAGATGAAGCAAACGTTTCATGATACTTTATGAGCCTCGCAAAAATGTTAGCTGACCATTCCATTTTTTCCCCCCGCAGTCCTCCCCCAAGGTCCCAAGGCGATCGTGGGCCAGGAACTTGGCTCCAGTTACTACGACGACGCGGCACCGGTCGTCGAGATCCAAGTGGCACGGGCCGGATACAGGCTTGCGGCGTGGCTGGACTTGCTCGCTGCCAAGATTTCCTCGAGCAAGGTTGGCGAGTTGTGAGGATCACGATTCGGTTTTGTTTCTTGTCGTCATCAAAGTGAGTTAAGGGCAGCCATATGAATCTGTGTATATTCTTACTATGAGTACGGCAGCTGCCGTATGGAGCATTGTGGCGAGCCGTTTGAGATGTGAGTATATGATTATGGGCTAGCGACTGTGTCTTTTCTGTTTGTATTGTTACCTTGTTTCTCTCTTCACGGGACAGAATGCTAGACTATGGACTTATTAAGCTTGTTTGTCTTATGAAGGCCACCGCGTACATAGCTATGTCTCGTTTTTGGTTATGTAACCCGGTCAGTATTGTGATGGTATGAAACTGCAGCATGTGCGGATCATCGCGTTGATCGACGAAAGGGCCTTGGGATCTCCAATGGAGGTTTTGGGAGATACTCAGATCGGACGAACATGGGACATAGTGCGCTTGCTTGCCAATTCAGAGGCGTATGCCGTGCTTTGTAGACAACAAGGTAGGGACTATACGATGTCAACACTTGCATCTGGCTACATACCGCACCCATCGTATGAAATATGAGGTGTAAGAGATGTATACGATAAACATTAGTCTTGAACAAGCCAACGGCTAAGACGGCAGCGAGCATGTGGATGGCTTGACAATTCTGTTGCATCAGACCGAATCGACGAAACATGGGCATGACATGAAAACACAAAAGGAGACAGAGAGGAATGATTATGAGTGGACAAGTTGGGTTTCTGAGACCCGTCAAAGAAGGGGACGCAGGGTTGAACCGACGATACTGATGGGGAGGAGACGAGGCAGACCTGTCCATAGCATGGGTCAAGCCAGGTTTGGTGGTGAAAGAGCGTAGAAGACATCACAAAAAGAATTACGACAGGGTACAATGGGAAGTGGAGGAGAAGGAGAAACAGATGGAAATAGGCAACCGACCATGTCGGAGAAATGACTTGAAGCGGTGAGAAGAACAGACGGCGACTGTATGAAAGGCAAAGGACTAGAAAAAAGAAAAGGGAGAAAAAGAAACGGGGAATATCAGAGCAACAGAAGAGGAAGGTTCACAGACAAGCTGGATAGACATTGGAAACACTGTTTCAGGGTGTCGGGCCAGGGGGACCAGGCGGAGGACGTTTTATGTCAATGTTTTGTGTGAGGCAACAAAAGAGATGAGAAGAGGTACGACATAATTTAATAACAGAGAAATACTATGACGGAAATGTGAGAATGAAAATAAAAAAAAAAAAAAAGTGTTTCATGGTGGCGCACTTGTTTGGTCCGCACAAACCGAAGACGATACGACAGCCGTAGAGGGGACGGACGCAGAGGATGTGGGAGAGACTTCAGTCAGAATAAAAAGTAAATAAACGAAAAAAGCACGCAGTGGCAGGAAGAAAGGAACACTGGCTCCTCGGCTCTCCGCATAAACGCCGCACAAACATATGTCGTACTGGTTCATGGGTTCGCTGTATGGAGACGGCAAGGCAGAGGCTCAGCGGCAATCATAGGACATAGGATGTCCAGCATTAATTGATCTGTCCCTCTCTTTATCAGTCCAAGAGTTGAGATTGAGAGTCCAAGCAATGCATAATGTTTGGGAGGGCCAGTCTCCCGTTATTTCCCCATTTCTTCCGAGATCGCTACATCATCCTAGGTGCGTGACATAGACCCTGGCGACCCAGAACCATCGGTCAGAGAGCAGTGAGAGGGCCCAAATCAACAGCAGCAAACCCCACAAGTCGAGGATCGCCGGCTGGATGAGCAGAACAAGGCATGGCCAGCTAGTTGGCGCATCGACAATCAACAGAGCCAGCCGATCGCCGAGAGCATTGTGTCTGCTTCGGGTCACGGCACAGACGCCGACATCTAATGAGCCGACTGGTTTCTGTCTGGCTGTTGAAGCTGTTGCGATGACATAGCTTTTTGTCGCTTTTTTCCTTTTCATCCATTCATCTATTCATCTTTGTTGTTTTCGTCGTCACTTCCTTTCCTTCTCTCATACAATACATGTCTTCTGCCTCTTGCATCCTACTCATAGAACGTTTTACTCCCTCAAACATGCGCTTACTTTTTGTGTCCACAAACTCTGGTCGAACATGTCTCATCGACGTTCAGGGTGCGAAACCCAACGCGCCTGAGGCCCTGGTTCCAGTCTCCTGGTCGAGTCTCTGTGCGGCCCAGCTCACCCGCCTGCCAAAATGCCTCTCATAGCTGGAAGAGCGCCCTAACAAGCTCGAAAATCCCCCTGGAAGCCCACTAACAGCTTCTCAGCACACTCAAGTCTGCTGCAAGACGCACCTGGTAGCTCCTTCCCCTGATTTGCACCAGAATGACAACATGCTAGCCAATCACAGCATGTGGAATTTTAAAGTAGTGGGGCGGTCCCAAGCACCTGCCGCATCCCCATCGCTAGTGCCCGGAACCCCCCTGCACTTTCCCTGTCAACCTCTAACAGTTCGAGCCGCATCGACGTCAAGCGAAAACAATGCGCCCCCATGGCCCCTCTCTTCTTTTTCTCCTCCATCGTGTTTTTTCCCCATCACCAGCATCCAGGAATGCGGTGCTCGCCTATGCAAGCGACCCCCGACCATTAGACGGTATTACAGCTCGGGCGATGTACCCAGCAACGAGCATGCTGACCAGGTTAAGGACCAACCAGTGTTTGCAGCCCCGTGCCGTCTTTTCCTTGTCCTGCGCCTCATGATCGCCATAGCAGGCGCATCTTTTCTGCTCAGCATTTACTGCTGTTGAGATCGTCTGCGTTGCTGCATTGTCTGTCGTCCCATTATCGAAGAAGTGCCCCCTTTCGACACTCGGCTCCCTGTGCAGCTCGTCGTGTTTGCCCCCTATGATGGACGGCCCCATTGTTCCGCCCTTGTTTTCTGTCTGGTTTTCGCCTTGACTCTTGTTGTTTGTCGTGTTTGTTTGACCTCTGCCATGACATGCATCATCACAGACACACACAGAGCCTTGATAGATTCCCACAGGATCACACATGGATGAAAATCATCGGTTCCCCCCAGCCACAACAGCCAACAGCCAACAGCCTGACAACATGCAACAGGCTGTCTCTGGACTCTCATCGCGTCCGCCATGTCAAGATTGCAAAGTTGCAACGCTGCCACACTCGACAACCTCCACACCATTTCCGCCCTAGCCGTCGAGTGAACCTCCAGCCCCTGGCCTAGTCTCCTTCTTACACACAAAACTCGACGTACTCCGTACAGCCTCCTGTGTCTTCTTCTTTTTCACTAGTGTGATTTAGGGGTCTTGTTTGACCGTTCTCCTGGGACGCCCCTGCACGATCCTGCTGGTAGGCCAGCACTGTCTCTCATCGTGTCTCTTCTGCGTCTCTTGTGCACTGGTGGTGTGGAGATCTTGCATATCCGATGTCAACGTCGGAGGAAGAGCCAGGGCGGCCATAGCCGACCGCCACCGAGGCCCTCACCACTCACTCACCATTCCCAAGAATCTGCATACAACCCACAACCCATGGCTTCGACTCACGACTCACGACTCAGACTCGCGGCTCACGGCCCCCAACCCTGGCTCGCCCACTTACACGACTCTCACAAAATCGCATCCTCGGCATCCTCGTCCCACACCCTGGCCTAAATGGCTGTACCTGGCCGCACTTCGCGATGGCTCCACTTAGGCGCCAAGCTCAGCCAGGCCTGCACCAGCCTGCAACCCCTTCCCCTCGACATGCTTGTCAAACATTGTTGCACATAGCATCGTCTCGTCGTCGTGCCTGGCATATAAAGAGAAAGGCTTGGCTCTCTTGCTTTATTTCTGTCTCCTCCTTTCCTATTCTCCTCAGTCGAGAAACCATCTTGCTTCGCACTTTTTTGCATTCTTTTGTTCGCTTCGTCTTTCTTTTCCTCCACACTTCTTTCGCTTCTTGCTTGTTTCTGAACTGCTGGACTGTGTTCCATTCTATCACTCTTTTTTACAAAGCATCAAACTCGACCGAAAAGGCTTGCCATCACAACCTATCGTCGTGTTTACTTTTTATTTTACCAATACCTTCTTTACTTGCTAGTCAAGCGTCATCTGACATTCATTTTTTACCTTACCTTTTGGCCTTCTTCTTTCCTCGGTCCGGTACCAACTATTTCTCTTTTGCTCTTCACATTTGCTCCCTATATCATATCCTATCCTTGATCTTCACCTGTCCGATCCGTCGATCGCCAACCACATCACAGCCAAAACATAAAACATACATACCTACAGGACTACGTCAGTATCTTACGAAGTACACCTTCACCACCGCCAAAATGATGTTCAAGTCCGTTCTCATCACTCTCGGCAGCGTTGCCGCCCTCACTGAGGCCTCGGCTATCAAGCGCACGCCGACCAAGGCCGATGCCAACTCTGTCAAGCGTGCCAGCAACACCTGCCTGAACAAAAACGCCGTTCAGACTGGCAGTTTCGTTACTGGCCAGGTCAACGATGTCGCCGCCGACGGCCAAACCAACTCTGAGACGTGGGTGTCCTTTCCGTTTTTTTAGTTGTTATTTATTTTACTTTTTGGGGTTTCCCTTTCACATTGACTTTGTCTAACAAATCAGAGATACTTCCAACTTCATCAACTTTTGCTCTGGCCAAACCCTGACCAACGGTCTGCAAATCAAGTCGGGTTCTTGCAACGGCATTGGTGGGTTATGGCCTCTACTTCTCATTCCCTTCCTACAATTGCTAACAAGTGTCAGTCATGGGCAAGATCCCTGCCTCAACAAACATGGTCTCCACCGTCATCCTAAACCCTAAGCTCAACGACAACCTCCCCGCGCTTACGGATTTCAATGTTACCCTGACGGTCGCCAACCTCAACCTGGGCACATTCACCAACGCCACCAGCACCTACTACTCGGCTCCCCAAGACCTGGAGAACAACGGTAACATCATCGGCCACACCCACGTGACCATCCAGGACGTTGGCAACTCGTTCCAGTTCACCACACCCCTCGATGCCAGCCAGTTTGTCTTCTTCAAGGGTATCAACGATGCTGGCAACGGCCAGGGTACCGTCACTACGGCTGTCGCCGGTGGCCTGCCGGCCGGCAACTACCGTGTCTGCACCATGTCTTCGTCCGCCAACCACCAACCTGTGCTGATGCCCGTTGCCCAGCGCGGTTTCCAGGATGACTGCCGTTACTTCTCTGTCGGCGGCAATGGCGGCAACAACAACGGCGGCGGTAGCAACAACGGCTCCGGCAACAACAACGGCTCCGGCAACAACAACGGCTCCGGCAACAACAACGGCGGCGGCAACAACAACAACTCTGGCAGCACTACCACCAACAACGCCGGCACGGGCAGCACGGGCAACAACAACGGTTCCGGTAACAACAACGGTTCCGGTAACAACAACGGTTCCGGTAACAACAACGGCTCTGGCAACAACAACGGCTCTGGCAACAACAACGGCTCTGGCAACAACGGCGGCGGCAACAATGGCAACACGGCAAGCTCGACCACTGCCAGCAGCAGTGCAGCGGCCACCTCCCAGTCAGGTAAGGAGATGTCCCGCTCCTCCAAGTCGAGCTAGGCCACTGCTAACTATGTTACTGCTATAGCTAACAACAATGGCTCGTCGTCCTCTTCGTCGGGCGCCATCGCTGGTATTGCGGCCCCTGCCGTCACGGATTCGGGTAACCCGGACCGGCCTTTCGAGGTCAACGGCGACACCTTTGTCAACAAGAGCGCGGCCGTGCAGCGCGCCTGCTCTATCCAGAACAACTTGTGCGCTAACGCCGTCAACTCGGGCAAAGCCTCCGGCTTCACTGTCGGCGACTGCAACACCCAAGAAGGAACGTGCAACGCGCAGTAAATGGAACCGGCGATGACTGGTAACGTTGGCGTCGACGAAAGTTTTGTGTACTTGGATGAACAAACTTTCCACATGTGTACTAGTACTGCAATTACGACCTTTTTTTGTACCTATTTCCCTTTGTGCTATGTCATGTTTTACATTTTTTATGTCTCCCCGATGATGTGTTCCCCGTCGGGCTTTTTATTTCCTATTTGCCTCCTGTCTCACTTTCACTTCTTTTTTTCGGCAAGGACGGATCTTTTTAGCCTACTTTCGGCCTCCGTTCCTCTTAACTGAGCATTCTTTTCTTCCCAATGAAAAAAGACTTAAGAAAAAAGGGAATGTCTAGGAGAGGTATTAGAATGAGAGAGATGTCGTTTTCCGGCTCAAATTTTGATTAAGATAGGATCGGGTGAATGGTTATGAAAAAAGGGGGGGACAAACCCGACTTGCAGAGATCTGAGAAAGAGGTCGCTCTTGAGAGACAGAGTGCAAACGAAGAAATCAAGAAAGTCTAAAGCTTTTTCCCCAACCAAAAATCATATTCGCCACGTAAAGCGGTAGAAATCGTACGTCCTTCTGCAAACGGTGACCCGACTTTTGTTTGTGGCTGCGACAGTACCAGGCTATGCAAGAGGCCTGTCGCGAAATTGCAACCAGACGAGCCGAGTTGAGGTACAACAGGACGAAGGACGAAGTAGAGTAACATCGTCAGTGACAGTGTCGTTGTACATACACCAAACTGGGTCCACCACCATCCCGTCTCCAATATCTCGGCTGCAAAAGGTTCCTGGGTGATTCAAGCGGACAAGTCCGATCACGTAGCACAAAGGACAGGAACACGGCCGACGACACTTCTATGCGAGGCGTTACAGAGCCGAGCCAGATAAATAAGAAAAACCTAATGTTATATAAAATCACGGCAGGCGGCAGGCGGCAGGCAGCGGACAGGACAATATTGGATGTGCTCCATACGTAGCCTTCTGTTTTTAAGATCCCTTCTTTATTTATTTGGTCAATTGAGAGCCCTCCCGTAATTCTGTCTCTGTCCGACTCTTGCGTTTGCTTGTTGTCAATGCCAAACTCACCGCCGGCACTGCCTCCGTAGCCAGAAGTAAATGGATTTCTGGGGACACGAGAACTTGCCGATGCAGGACATCTTGAAGATGAGAAACAAAATTGAGAAACAAAAGGCCGAAACAGACGGTGACCAAAAAGACGGGCCTGTTTTACCATCGGAGACTTTTCCTTGGACAGCCATGATGGAAAGGTTCGTCGGACCATCTCGACCCATCTTTGTGTCTCTCTTTGTAACTTTGGCCCGTCGATGTCGCCTCTCACTTTATTCTGTATTTATGTCTCCTTTCCTTTTGTACATGTTAAATGTTTCTCATATCATTTTTTTCGTCAACGGCTAGTATGTTGCAGAGGCCGACGGAGAACAGAGGCACTGTACCCGTTGGGCCGTCGATCCGTTGTGTCGCTGTGTTTCTGTATATGGGATATATTTCATACCTCCCAGAGAATGCTCTGGTTTGACAAAATATGAAATATTTTCGAGACAAAATAAAAAGAACAAAAAGGGAAAACAGGGGAAGGAGGCTAAGCTATCATTGACGAAGAAATCTATATATGACGAGGCACTTTTCTCGTTTCTCATCCTTCCAGAATCAGTCCAGACCAAGGCAGCTTCCTCGATCGTCTCGACCTTTTCCTGTATCTTCATCGCCCACTTATATCTCCCAAATTCATATTGATTGCCACTCATTTTTGCCGCCCCCTCTCACTTCCACAGTCATCATGAAGTTCCAGTGGCTGGCTACCGGCGCTGCCATGGCCCTCGTTATCCTTCCCGTGGCCGCTTCTCCTGCCCGTCGTGCACCTTCTCTGTTCCATTACGACGGCAATGAACGCTTTAACAGCCAACTTGGGAAAACCAATGAGGCCCGTCATCGTCACGATGATTCCAAGCGGGATTACCGTCTGTCTGTCCCAACTGCGGAGGTCCAAACGGGCGGCGTGACCGAGGAAGTGACGGTGACGACGACGACGACCATCACGGATGTGCCCAGCTCGAGCTTTTACCGCTCCAGTGCTTCGTCCATCTCCAGCTCCAGCTCCATCTCCAGCTCCAGTTCGACTTCAGCTGACGCTGCTCACGGAACCAGTTCCAGCTGTGGGTTGCTCCTTCCTTTTTCACCTATTGCTTTTCTTAATTTCTTTTGTTGTGCATCGTGCCTTCTCGTTAACAAATTGTTGGCAGCTGCCCCTGGCGTCATCGGCTACACGTCCGTGACTAAGCGGCCGTCCCCTTCGACGACGCCTGTCATTTGGTCCTATCAGCCAGGCGTGACATTCAACACCACTGTGGCTGTGGCCCACACGGTGACCGCATCGTCTTCACCGACCTCGCATTCTTCTGTCTCACCGTCGTCGGCTTCGTCTTCGTCTGCTTCCGAGACGACGGTGACCGAGGTCACCACAATTACAACTGTCACGCTTCTGACGACTGTGTCGACTCTGACGCCTGCGAGTGCGTCGGAATCGGCGTCGTCGTCGTCATCGGCACTCGTCTCGCCAAGCAGGCTCTCACCGTCTGTGTTGTCCTGGTCGTCCCCGCACGTGTCCTGGTCGTCAGTGCCCTCTACGTTCGTCACTCTCTCGGTTTCTTCACCAGCCAACTCAACCACTTTGTCGTTCATCTCGTCGGCCTCCTCGTCCTCATCCTCGTCCACGTCCACGTCCACTGCACTGGCACTCTCAGGTACGCTCTCGAGAACAAACTCCAGCACGTCCCGGGACACTTGTCATGAGGGAACACCGACGCCATTGTCGTCTTCTTGGTCTAGTTACTGGTCGTCAACCTACTACTCCCCCAGCGCATCGCCGTCTAGCTTGCCGTTTTCGTCGTCGTCGCCTCCTCGCTGGCCCAACTCAACCAGCAGTGCCTCCACGTCGTCGTCCACCGACTTGTCGGGCACCACCCTGACGTCGAGCATCAGTACCACTACTTCTTCAGTCTCTCCATCGACCCCGACCAGCGGCGGAGTCCAGCCGCTCTTCAATGCCACGTCGTCGTCTGTGCCGGTGCCTTGGTCGGTTTCTTCGTCTTTGTCCGCCTCTGTGCCGTCCGCTTCATCCATATCCATTAGTAACCGTTCTGTGCCTTTGTCGGCCAGCTCGACTTTGAGCAGAGCGCCTCAGTTGTCATCTCTCTCGCTGTCCATTTCGCCTTCCATTACACCGTCTGCTTCCTTCTCGGTGTCGCCGACTCTCTCTCCGAATTCGTCATCCCTTATCCCGGCCTCTACTCTCTCCTCCAATATCTCATCGTCCTTCATCCCAACTTCAATCGTGCCCACATTGAATACCTCATCTCTAATCCGGTCTTTTGCGACCCAATCCCCCCCGTCGTCCTCGACTTCGCTTTTTAGCCCCGGCGAGCGCCTCGCTACGGCACTACCGACTGACAACGCAGGGAACACCTAGCCCGCTCCCAACGACTACGGCTAGTGGTCTCTGGTAATCTGACCAACAGTATGCCAGGCAGGTTCTTGGTAGTCATCCGACTGACGGATCGCCTGGATGTCTGGCTGCACGGCAAGCTATAGGAGTAGCGTCAGGAAGAGGGATAGTATAGCCATTTCCCATCGGCGAACTCATGTTACCGGCTTGCATAGGCGGGTGCGGGGTGTTGGATGGTGACGAAAGGTGGAACTTGCAAGGTACTTGGGTAGACACAAAGAGCAGGTCGTGGACTGTGAAGACCGTGGAGATTCTATCGCTCTAAAATTCGCCGCCTTGTCCTCATAGCAATTGCTTCGCATTTTGAAATCAGGCATAAAATGGGGCCCGGCCCGTTTCGTTACCTTGGCTTTCGTGAGATCAATAGCCTGCAGTGTGTTATTTGAATGCCGATTGTTGCACGTACCGCGTCTGTACCATTTGATAACTTTCATTTGTTGATCTCTGCTGATTCCCTCTAAGCCCGGACCAGCCTCCATCTCATTGTCTGCTCTGTTATCCCAACCTAAGCGTTTGTCGACGCTGATTTGGCAATGGTTGGTGCTGCTGATGTCGGGTCGCGGTTTGCCCGCCAGACACTCTCGCCCTCGGCAGGTCCTTGGCCCGTGTTGCCTCCTTGCCCTTCCTGTTCTGCCGCAAACACTTCCTCTTTCCACACCTCCAGCCGCTCCTTGGCCAGCTCCAAGCACGCCTCACCGGCCCGCCACGCCGCCCGCCGGTGCGCCGCCGACACCGCAATCAGGATGCTGTCTTCGCCAATCGGCACAGGACCCAGGCGGTGCACAACTGCGATGCCGATAAGGTCGTGGGCCGCGTACACGTCGCGCGCAATCGACAGCATTGTGCGCAGCGCCCGCGGGCGGTACGAGGCGTAACGGAGTGTCGCCACCGCGCGGTCACCAAAGCTGTCGCGGGTCGAGCCTGGAGAGAGCAAGTCAACAACGGGGAGCGAGACGAGGCAGTGCAGTGAGAACGACGAGAGGGGACGCAATAATACCCGCAAACAAGACGTTGGCGCCGGCTTTGGGGCTTCGTACGCGCTGCAGAACAGAAACGACGTCCAATGGTGCATCTGACAGGGCGACGAAGCAGCCGTCGGCCGCAAGTGCATCTGCGCCAGAAAAGACGTCCTGGACCCCGGCCTCTTGTGCCATGGTGAATAACGGGTATCGTGGTTTCAATGGGATGGTGCTCGGGCGGCAACAACTTGGGCAGAGTCCCACGGACTACTCCGTAACACCTCCTCTGTGGAGTGTGAAGAGCGGTGTTCGCCGTAAGTGGCGCTTGCTCTCTAGCTGGCTGGCGTCACTAATGTCACATGGTAGGTTAGCGTCCTGTCCGTGTTGCGTCCAGTGCGCTAAGGCTGCTCTTGCTAAAAGCGGCGACCGCTCCCTCCCAGCATGTCGTGTTGACTTGGTTTCCCTTTTGAGCAGTTACGTTTAAGTCAACCAGTCCTCCCACAAGTCACTGCAGCATGTCCATCCTCTATGTACGCTTTTTATCTCTCTTCCATCGTTTTCCATATCTCTATGGCAATACAAACGGCTCCCCTTTCCGTAAGCTTTGTAATGCCTTGTAATGCCTTTCCCAGCCGTCTCGGTTGAATTTTCCATTTTCCAGTCGCACTGTTGAAATGGGGAAGGAGTGATGCCAACAGTACCTTCCATATAACACCACGGCAAGCCGTTCTTTCTCTTCGTAGAAAATTTGCCGAGCGGGAGTCAAACTCAAGAAAAAGGCGTGGAAAGAGCGCAGTGTTGGCTCTTGCCGCATCGAGCACCAGCACGCGTCATGTGCGTAAACCAATAAGAAGTCACCCAATCCTTTTCCTCATCCATCGATCTCGAAATGCTAAGCAACTTCTGAGCGATCCAACATCACATTACTGCCTTCATACTCAAAGACTTTCCAAGGCCGTCCTTTCTACAGGTAAGTCATGCATGCTTCACGACTGCACGTCAAGGAGACGCAGCCAGCCTATGACCGGGAGACTGATAGCCACACGCAGACGCAGATACAAGGAGATGGCCTCCGAGCTCCGAGTCAAGTTTTACTGCCGACCAATAGTCCCCAAGGAGAATACCGGGAGCACAGGTAATCGCCGGCCATGCAACGTCGTATTCCTGACAGCAAAATCTTTGTCTTTATGAACACTCTTGGCAGCTATGACTGCCACATGGTTCGTATATGACTCGACGGCAGTGCACAAGCAACCGTTTGCATCAGTCTAACAAAACTCCGCTTTCCTTGTTGCCGTCTTACAGGTACTTGAATTTCTCCGGTCGCCTGCCGGAATCGATCGGCGAGACCTTTAAAATAACCGCCGTCGCTTGATCCAGTCCAAAGCCGATGGCAGTACGTGTATCTTTAATTCCTTCCCTTTCACGATGCTTTCGTGCTCTTCGTGCTCTTGCTGTTCTACAAGGACTTGTAGGTCAAACTGCCTGCATATATACATTTTTTGGCGCTTGGATTGGAGCTACCTTAGTTTCTATATTGTCTCCATGTTCCATGTATCTTTATGCATTGACTTTACTTTACCACACTTCTAAAAGTCTGCCGGCCACCCTTCCCTCTGCAGCGCCCACCGGACCGCCGCACCCACGTCGCCCGTGATGGCCCGGGGACGGTGGCGCAGGTAGTCAGGACTGCTTCCCGCACGCGCCGGGTCGTACACACCCGTCTCTACCAACACCGAGCACCAGTCCGTACCGTGCACACTAGAGAACTGGTTGGCACCCGCAATGTCGCTGTCCGGGTTGTCGCCCACCATATAGACCGTCTTCAGCGGCGCTTCTTTTTGTTGTGCTCCTGTGCCGGCCTTGCCACCGTGTGCCTCCAGCAGCGACGTTCGGTACCGTACAAGGGTCCGTTCCGCGTACCGGTACGTCGCCGCATGCGGCTTGCCCAGCAGCGTCGCCCGCCAGCCCTCGGGCGACAACAGTGGCGGCTGCTTGGGGCTCGCCAGCTGCGACCACACGCCTGCGACAGCCGCTGCAAACGCGCCCTGGCCAAAGCGTGGCAGGTGGTACGTGGTGGCCCACAGCAGGTCCGCATTGGAAAAGAACAGGCGCGTGCCCTTTTCCTCGGCGGGTACGGACTCTGCCGACAAGCTCGCCGGGTCAAACGTGCCCAGGAAGCCGCGCCGCGCCTGCAGCAGGTCCGTCAGGAGCTGAATGTCGAGGGCCCAGTCGCGCGGGTCGTTGAAGACAAAAGCCGCGGCAATGCGCAGGTACTTGCTGTCGTCGAGGTCCGCCAGCGAAAAGGGCTTTGCCTGCGACGCCAATTTGCCGCCCTCAAGCAGCAGCGGTTTCGGCAGCGGCCGCGCTGTCTCGGCGTACACCGATTTGAGCAGCGGCTCGAACGGGTATATGGCCGGGTACGCCGTCAAAATATCGGCCGGCGTCACCACGCTGCGGAAGCCATACTGTTCGGCAATCGTGCGGATGCGCGCGGCGTCCGAGCCCGTCACCAGGATCGTCTGGTCGCGGAGGCCGCCACCACCGCCAACACTGCCACCACTGCCGCCACGTCCGGTGCTTTGCGCGTCCAGCCCCGCCGCGTCGTCCAGCAGCTCTTGGAAAGGAGTATGTGACTGCACAAAGTTGGCCGGTGACAGTACCGGCAGCGGGCCGCCACAGTTTGGGTCGGTGTCGAGGCCCAGCCGCCGCTGCAGGTCTGCCACGCGATCGGCCTCGTAGCGTCCACCGCCGTTGGTCAGCAGAATAAAGGGAATGTTCTGCCGGTGCAAGTATCGGAGCGCCGCGGCTGCGCCCGAGATCGGCTCGTTGACGTGCAGCAGAACACCGTCAATGTCGAATGCAAACGCGAACGGCGGAATCCGGTCCTGGGAGGACGTCGAGGGGGGAAAAGGGAAGGGGGAGGACGTCGCTGGTGTGCTAAATGCCCGTCTTTGCCGCTGCCGCTGAATCGCAGACCAAGACGATCGACTCGTCGCTCTCCGACCGTGACTGAACGCACAACTGCCCAGACGGGTGAGAATGCCGCACAGCTGGTTCTCGGCCGTACTACGCCGCGACGGCACTCGCGAAGCACCTGTCAGCAGTCTGTCCACTAAACGCCTGCTCGACGCCATGGCTGCAGTCCTCGAGGGAAGTGGAGGAACGAGAAAACACTCTTCGGATGCGATTTTTGAGGTGGCTCTCTCCCGGTCTTTGGCCTAATACGCTTGTCGAAGCTGCCAGGCTGTTTAGGTGAGTGCGGACGGGGCTAACGTCTGACGTTTGGCCAGAAGCTATGAATGTGCCCTAGGCTTTATCGGAGCTTCTCCAGCATGCGGCGAAACGGGTCTGTTTGCTTATCGCGAAACGAGAAAGGCGCTGGGAGCAGAGGGTCCGTTCTTTCCCAGGAACTGCCGCGATCTTGCGCATGGGTCTACTGTGCGCAAAGGCCGTGCGGGGTTTTCTGTCAGTGAGTGTAATGATCGCTACCCACTGTTCCGCACCACTCCCTCAATACCTTATTTCTACGCGACAAGAGGAACAGCTCAGTCAAGCTCCTTCCAAAGGACCGCCCTTCTTGACTGAGCATGCTTCTGGCTTTATTAAACAGGAAGGACGCGCTTGGCGCTATATATTTGGAGGCAAGAGTGTGGGGAAACAAGAACTCAATGAGGGGAAGACACCGCCGACACGGGACGTAAGGAACAGTCATATGGAAGGTCCGAGAGGTCGACATCGACATGTTTTCCTGCCTTTTCAAAGCAAATCAATCTTGCTTTGCGTTTCTCCGGTCTATTTGACTTGTTGGACTACCAAATATCACCAAAGTGAGAAGGCTTATCTTGTGCTTTTGCGAAACACTGTCAACATACATTCCAGCGGCAGATCACCGCCAGAGCACAGCCAGTCCACACAGCACGCACATTCCTCATTGAAAGAACAACAAAACAAATTAGACAGACTGTCTCTCATCGCTAAACACATCAAAAGGCAGGCATTCACTTCACTGGCGCTCTTTTTCTACCTAAGTTCTCATTCAACCATGGCACTACATTTACGCGTCCGGACATCGCCAAATCGACACACAACAGCCACATAATTCAACGCCAATGTTGGGTGGAAAACATCACATTGTTAAAGGTCCACTATTGCCACGATGCAGCGTTGGTGGTGGTGGAATATGAGACGGAAACAAGGTAAGTAAAAGACACGAAGTATAGTAACACAAAAGATTGAAGAAATGGCCGACACGAGAAGAGAAAACAAGAGAAGGGACGGAAAGGTCTGAAAGAAAACACAAGATGAGACGGACAAAACTCCTTGGAAATAGGCCACAATCATTGGGCCATCATGCTGATGCCTCTTTCCTTTTTCCCACCCACGAACAAGCAGGTGTCGCTCATTCACGCAAGCAACAACAACAACAACAACAGCTCCAACATAACGAGACAGCTCATCGATGCCCCTTGTGCGGCCCTGCTGCGATGGCAGGAGCGAGGTTCTGGGTATAACTCCAACCCTGGGAAAACGACACGACGAACACATCAAGAGACAAAAGTTCAAAGCTCAAAACGGCAAAACAGAAAACAATATTAGAGAAGCCATCTCGAGCCAAATACAACAACATCCCCCTTTTCCTCTAAGAGGAAAGACCTGAAGAGCGCCAATATGCTATGCAAATATGCAGAGAGATAGAAAGTGGGGAGAGAAAATTTGCGAGGTATATTTGTTGGTGGTCGTTAAACAAGTAATAATTAGGCCACGACGAGGCAAGGCGATCGACGCAAATAAACAACAAATTTCGACGGCGGAGAGTTACGAACCGAGACCAGGACGCAAAAAGATCAGAGCACTGCCATCACTGTCTGTCGCCACGGCTGACCTGGCTGGCAGACGTCCGGCTGCGCTCATCGTCTTCTTCAATCACATCGCTCAGCCGCGTCGGGTGGTGATGGCGGGGAATCGTCTCCCAGCCGGGTCCAGCAAAACCTTGGCCGGAGTAGTCTGCGGGGGCAGGGGCGGTATAATAATGGTGGGAGGCCGATGGCGGATATGTCGATCCAGGGGCGGACAGCGATGACGGCGTTCCATACTGCAGCTCTTCTTCTGCAACCCGACCGTTAGCAAATTCGATCCTTACCATCCACCGTTCGCTCTCAAGATCCCGATTAAGCTTACCTTCATAGGTCTCATCAGACCCTTGCGGCGCTGTGTCCGACTGGCCATGTGGCTGCTGGTAGTATTCAGCACTAGCTGTATCAGGTCCCGCAGCGCTAACCGGCGGCTGGGTGTACACAGGCTGCTGTTGCGGTGACGCTTGGTACCGTTGCTGCGTCTGAGATGGGAGCTGCTCTAGAGCCGACAGTGGCGTTTTCTGCTGCTGTGGTGGGACCTGTTGGGGCGGCGGCGCCTGTTGTTGGTGTTGCTGCTGAGGCACCTGTTGCGGCTGCTGTGGCTGTTGTGGCTGCTGTTGCGGTTGCGGCTGCGGTGGCGGCGGCTGCTGCTGCTCATGACCCGTGGTGCTAGTCTGTTGGCGGAGAGGAAGACCCTGTGTCATAGGCACTACCTGAACACCGCCAACGATCGTCGGCTGCCCCTCTTGCAACGCAATTACACGATCCCTCTCCTCCTGCTCGCGCCGCCCAAGCTCCTCCCATGCTCGCCGCGCCTCATCCTTGGAGATGGCAAGCTCCTTACGCATCTCGGCAAGCTGCTTCTGCATCTTAGAATTTGAGCGTTCGTTCTCGACTGCCTCGCGGATTGCCTCTGCGCGGCCACGGCGCTCTTCTTGGATGGCGGCCTCCAGCATTGCCTGGACCTCGGTGTGGCGCTCCATATCGCCGCGCATCTCGAAAAACCAGCGCTGAAACTTGCGCTCCGAGCTGGCCCGCAAGCGTTGCAATTCCACGACGGCGTGGAAGAGGTTGGCGCCTGCGGCCGACAGATCCGTCACCTGTCGCGCAAGTTGCCGATTCAAAGGATCCTGGTTGATCTCTTCCGACCGCTGCTGCAGCTGGCGGATCCAGAAGCTCGTCAAGCCCTCCCAGTGCGCAGATAGCGCTTCCCACCGCTCAAAAGCATGGGGGAACGAGTTCCGCGGCTGGCCCCTAGCACCGCCAGTTCCTGCATCACCCCCATCAAGCCCGGCCTGCGGCTGCGTTTGGTCCGATGGCCGTGGTGCCGGGTCTGGGATTCCGCTTGCTGAAGGCTGGCGACCACTTGCAGCTAGAGGTGGTGCCGCGGATATTGGGGGTTGGTTGATTGGCTGCTGGGGTATTTGGGTGCTTTGAGGGACGCGCACAGGTCTTGGCTGAGCCTGTTGTTGCTGCTGCGGCGGCTGTTGACGCTGCTGCTGTTGTTGCTGATGCAGCTGCTGTGATGAAATATGAGGTTGTTGTGGTGCCTGTTGCTGCTGGATGGTAGGAGGAGGCGCGAGCTGGCCAGATGTCGCCGCTGCCGTGCGCTCGGCCCGCTGCTGTCTCCGCTGGGTGGCGGGGTCGACTTGTTGCGATGTGGATTGGGAAGCAGGGGCCGGCGCTGCCGATGCTGCAGCTGCCGCCGCTATGGCAGCTGCAGCGCGCTCACGTTCAGCGGCTTGCCGTCTTTGTTCAGCCGCGACTCGAGCATCCTGCTCTGCTTGAGCCCTTTCCATCCGTTCCCGTTCCGCTCGCCGTGCCTCCCGTTCTTGGCGCTCCTGCATGATCATTCTCGGACCTCGAATGTTGCTTCGTGGCGAACTTGTCGGCTGTGGAATAGGAATTTGCGGGCGGGATGTCGGCACCGCATTGCCATTTCCGTTGCCGTTAGAGCCATCACCTTCGACGAGAAGATCCGCCATCTTTGCGGTCTCCTCCTCGTAGTCCTGCGAGAGCTTGTACGGATGGGTGAGACCTTCAATAGCGAATAGGATGGCGTTGTGTGTCCGCTTCGAGATGCGTACGGCCGGGTGGATGTCAGCGCCCGCTTGAAAAGACGCCGAGTTGCCCTCAACGGGATCCGAGGCAGGTCTCGAGGAACGCCCTACGACAGGCGATCGTTTGTCGTACTTACTGTCGTCGTCGTCGTCTTCGTCTTCGTCTTCGTCGTCCTGGCCGTCGCTCAGGTCTTGCGAGGGAGGTCTACGAGTGCTTTGAACCTGATCCTGCTGCTTGACGGGCTCTGCGGTGGAAAAGGCAAGGCGCGGGCTGATTCCAGTCGATACTGCGGCAAGATGGACCCTTCGGGGAGGACTCGACTTGGGAGACTGAGATTGGGTTCGAGACCGGGACTGGCTATCGGCAGGGGACGATATCGACTGCGATCGGGCCTCGCCCGGAGGGGGGCTAGAAACGAAACGCGGTGTACGGCGCAGAGACCGTTGAGAGTTGGGTGTAGATCGTGCTTCACGTTCGGAGAGCGCGGAGCGTGCTGAGGCGGTCGTATGGGTGTGGTATCCCTGGGGTGTATAGGGCCGCTGGAGAGAGGAGCGCCGGCTCTGTTGGCTGTGCTGTGTCTGCCGGCTTTGCGGGCGCTGCTTGGAGGTAGTCGGTGTGTGTTCGTAACGGTCGTAACGGTCGTGAAAGGAAGCGGGGGCGGAGTCACTCAATGTGCCCGAGTCGTGCTGCCCAGCACCAGACAGGTCCGGTACGTGGGCGGGCAAAGCGACAAGAGGCCGCAGTAAGCGCTGCGGTAGCTCAATGACCACAAAGAGCTCCCTCCTCAAGGAAGTGGAGGACAGATCAAATCAAAAACAAGAATGGACAGGACAATGAGAAGCGAAGGTGGCAAGCTGCGAGCGGTTAGATTCTCGGACGACGGAAGACGCAAGAAGGAGACAAAAGGCGAAAGAAGCTGCAGTCCAACGGCGAGAACAGGAAGAGCATCGCGTTGCACATGGAGAATGTTGTCTCCGATGGTAACCAGACGCTATGTCTGAGGGAGCCCGTGAAGGCAACGAAGCACGGCAAAGATGTCGAGTGGCAGCAAAACGTGCAGAGAGGACAGAGAACGAAATAGAGAAGCGAAGGACGGGGTGCATCGAGGCTTGGCGGCAAGGGATGAAGTAAGGTTGGTTCCAACTTACTCTTCAAAACGGACTTGCTGCTCGACGAGACAGTCAAACCAAGGGCCGAAAAAGCGAGAAAGCGACGTGACAATGGCAAAACGAGGCAAAGACAGCAAGCAAAAACGAAAAAAAGACCAGGCCGGCAATCAATTGAGGGCTGGTTGTTGGAAGGGAGGCAACCCTGGAGCAAACAAGACCAAAGTCAGAGACGGGCGTCGACGAGCAGGCGAGCCCAGCGAAAGCAGGACGGGGTGAGCTTTGAGATAATGGCAGACTGGCGTCATTAGCAAAATTAATTGGGGAGGCTGGGAAGAGGTGGCGGGAGAACGCGCGCCCAAAAACGGCCCTGTGCTAGCACGGGACGGACACGATACAGGGGTATGGGTGCGGGAGTGGCAGAGTGGGTAGTGCCAAGTGTGGGTGGAGAGGACAGGAAGTTTTGCAAGCTCACAATAGGCTGTTGCTGCTGGGCCGCCTGGGCTGAGCTGGCCTGGTTGGACCTCTGCGACGTATTGCTATTCCTTGCACACCACCAAGCAAGGGAGCTGCTGACTGTGCCAGATTTGCCAGAACATACCGGAAAAGAGGAGGAAGAAAAAGAACAGCACCGAGAGTCGGCCAATGAAAGAGCTGTGCAAGAGTTTGGAAGAGCTTCGCTGCAATCGGAAATGCACAGCTGGACGTTGGGAATTGGCTCGGCGTGACAGCGAAGTGGACTGCGGCCGCAGGAACGGCGGCCAAGTGTGTGAGGCGAGGGGGAATCGTTTAGAAGCGAGTGGCCAGGTCAAAATGTCGGTCTGGGATCGCGAGGCCGAGAGCAGTGGTAAGGTAAGTCGTCCCAATTCGCAGGGGATGAGGATGCGACTGATGGTAAATGGGGATGGCTGGGAACGGGATCGCGTCTCGTGCTCTCGTCTCGATCTCGGTACGTGGCGTACGTGCAGTGTCCGTCTCGTGGTCAACACCTGCTCGTCCTCCTCGTCCTCCTCGTCCTCCTTGTCCTCCTCCGCCAATTGAGCCCACGCGCAACCGGGTGCGCAACAGCCTCCGCTGATGTTGACCAATGGGGACTAGAGAAACGATGATTGCGCACTGCTGCCCGTGCCAACATGACTTGGAGATGCCAACGGCCGTCGGGGGGAGGGAGGTAGAGAGACGCTTCGACGGGTGTTCGCTGGCGTTGGTTTGCGGTTTGGGGGGGAACACGGGTCTCTTTGTCTCGAGTTGTGAGATGGCTCGGCGACTCGGTCAGCGAGTCTATTGCAGCATTGGCCTCAATGCGCTCGTTGCTGGCGGTTTGTCGATTGCGAAATGCAGCCGGGGCCGTCCGCGGTGTATAGGATGCGCGAGAAAAAGCATAAATACGGAGTATGTCGTTCGTATTGAAACGCGCCACGAGCGTCAATCGGCGTGTTTGCGTTCTGATTAAACGGGAAGGCCGTGGTAAGCAGATTTCAGTAACAAACAACGTATGCGAGAGAGAGGGCGGGACCCGACAAAGACAAAGTGGCAATGTCGACAACGAAAGGTGTCGGCAGCTTTTGTCTCGTTTGCTGTCGTCAATTAAAAGAAATTGCAAAGGCATGCGGGTCAGGTCAGCGATCTGCGTTTCGTCCGAGCTACCAGGGAAGGCTATGTCCTTGTGGACCTGGTTCGGTTCCAGCGGAGAGCTCTCCCTTTTGCATGCGCTGAGGTCGTTCAATGGCAGCCGGTGAGCTTCAGGAGAAGATGAAGGTGACAAGAAGTCGTACAAAAGCAAGACGACCTGTTGTGATGATTGCGAAATAGGAAGAGCGTACACACGGCGCTCTTTCAGGAAGGACCGGGTCAAAGACGCGTCCGGCAGGGGAGGAAGCACCTACGCACGACAGTTGTGCTTTCCTCGTAATTGGCATGCCCAGATACCACGGCAAACGACCACGCCGTGACAGTTTCGCGCCACTGTTCCTTCCTTTCGCGGGCAACTACACAGCGCGCTCTCTTTTCTGGCTCAATTGATAACGGCTCTTCATATTAACTGCCCGTTCAGCCCCTGGAGGCAGGAGCGCGAGACACGCAGCAGGTGGATGCGCGGGAAAGTGCCAGGGACCCAGGTTTATTGCACGGGACGTCTTCTTCTCTGCCGTAGGTAGACAAGCTGTAATCTTTGCCAAAAAGAATAAAAAAAGAATATATCTATATGTAAGAATCGAGACAAGACACACCGTAACACTCACACTCTTTCACAGATTTGTGCCCTCTAGCCTCGTACATCTCGCCCTGCCCTCGCCCGCTCCCGCCGCCGGCGTCCTTTTGTGGTTCTGTGTTTCCTGTTTTTCAGAGCCTTTTCCTTTTTCTGCACTTCTTGTCTAGCATCTAGGGAATTCAATTATCAGCCCCCGACGACATGGTTCGGCATTTTCAGCCCAAAGAATTCAGAGACAAGCCAGTGCGAACCACGGTCGCGCACAACAGGTGCTCCTGCTCAAGCGTCGCCTGTGCTACCGTTTTCCAAATCACGACCTCCGTTGTTTTGGCGCACACATTATTCTTAACTTTTGTGCAATGGTGAACAATCACCATGCTGCAGAAAATAATGCAGGAAACATGCCGGACGTGAAATTGCGTCCCACCCACTACACGAAGTGCTTGGGGCTATTTTCTTCTCTAAACTGTCGTACTCTGTACTCTTATCTCCACAGATACGTTATACTCCATGTGTCGTATTAAGTAGCGCGGTGTATGACAGGTCCAAGTACGATATATTCCTCCCTGTGCGGCGTATGCCGTGCTGGTTGGCAATGGTCAGCAAGCGGCGGAGAAGAGGGCCAAAAAAAAAAACCAGGAACAGTTTGTTACAATTTCGCAACGGAGCATTATCCAAACCCGGTACCAGAGTGTCGTCGAGACTGGTCGCGTCCGACTTTACCAGGAACACAAACCGGTCGACATCTTATAAAGTGAAGGAAAGGCGGGCCACCAATGCGTCGCAGCACGCATCATGTCTGCTCGTATTGACCGACAGCCGGCGGTACTTCTCGCCCGTTCTTCGTATTGACGATGTTGGGGCACATTGGATTGTTGGGTCTTGGTATGAGTATCGGACGGCCAGCTGTCGGCTACTTAATTCGTAGTGTTCGAGTTTTCGACCTTTTTCTCGCCCTCCATTCGTCCCACACTCTCTGCGTTGGCAAGCTCCCGAGACGATGCTACGCAAGATGCATTGCACCCCTGTAGGTACGTCAAAATTTGACAAAGGATCCAGCTTGTACAGAGTAATTTCGACGCAATGGAGTACAGCATTGGCTCCTCGGCGCGAGCTATGCCTATTCTGGCACAAGCGAAGCTTGACTTCAGCCTCTCTTCAGCTGAAAGGCCCAGCCAGCCCATTGCGACAGCACTCGGCTGCCCAGGGTAGTCGTCTCGCAGCTCTCAATCTCCAACCTAACTGCCCTCGTGACAAACACGGCATGCGCGTTGTGCGTTGAATCCAACGAGGGCGGGAACGGTTGCGATTCTGCTTCTTTGCAGCACATAATTGAACACAATGAACACATCAACATACGGAGCAAAGCGTCTTTTACTTGACTTGAGGGTATAAGGATTATTTTAAATATCGTCTCGTATTTGACCTAAATTATAATGAGAACAACGCTTTTTTTATACAAATATCCATGTTAAATAAATAAATTATTTAAATTTAAAAAATCATTTTCAGATTTCGACAAAACACCGAAATTTAAACTAGAATAATAGAAGATCAAACCACCGAAGCCAAATGAATAAATACGAGACAAAACAAAAAAAGCCGCTTGTCGAAAACAATACTCGTCGATGAATAGCATCACCAGTAGGCATCAACTTGGGCCGCCATGCTGTCAGATTCACCTAGCCACACGACCATACAAACCACACGACATATCACATCGAGCATTTCGAACGGCAGGAGAATTATGTACCAAGCAAAATAAATTATATAAAAACAGATAGCAAGACTCATGAATATCCAAAAGTTTGTCCATCCTAAAAACTGCGAATACGACGGGGTTCTGACAACCGCGCACGCATTATACGTACACAAAAATGCTTTCTAAACACAAGACTCAAGGAAACGGGGGGTTACGCCTAACAGGCCGTGCTTCCAACGAAAAAGGAAAATGCAAAACGCATAATCATTCTTTTTGTTGGGAAACACTTTACAGGCTGGCACCGTGGACGACTTTCATGTCGACAGCCAGCTCGCGGCCGTGGTCGTTGACAACCAGGACGCGAACGGAACCACGGCCAGACTCGAAGGCACGCAGAAGGCGAGCCCACAGGTTGGACTGGTCAATGACAGGCAGACCCTGCTTGACGTCGCCAGTCTCGGTCATGGCGACGACGTTGCCCTCCTGCAGGTCAAGCACGCGGTACTGCTTGAAGACAGGGCCTAGCATGGACTGGACGACGACGCTCGGCGAGGGGTTAGAGACGAACGACGACTCCTCGTGCAGCTTCTTGGTGAAGAGATCGACACCCAGGTAGCGGTGCTGGCCAGTGGCAGCCGAGGTCGAGATGCGGATGACCTGGCAGGGACGGCCCTGGAGGATCAGGATGTCGCCGATGCGGATGTGGTGGCACGGGATGGACACCGTGTTGCGGGGCACGTCCTCATCAACGCTGCGGCGACCGCGGGACGAACCGCCGCTGGAGCGGATCGTCTCACGGAACTCCGAGACCTCAACATCGCGGCCTTCAGGGTGAATCAGACGGTCAGCAAGCTTGTGCACGCCGTGGCGGAACGAGTGGTAGTTGCCTGTAGATTGTGGCGGGAGAGGAAAACGAAACCGAGCCATTGCTTAGTAACCGTAGACGCTAAGAAGAGAGCGAACCGGCAAGAAGCTGGTCGCGTCGCACAGGAGAAAGGAGACGCAGAGAAGGGAAATGAAAAGCAAAAGGTAGAAAAGCAGGGAATGGGAAAAGGTTAAAAAGACTCACCCTCCTCGTCGTAGTAGCCCATCTTGTTGGATTTGCGGGTGATAGCCTGCGGCTCAAGAATGTCCTCGACGACCTTGGTCGACTTGCGCGAGAAAGTGCTGCCCTGGGTAGGACGAGCGATCGGTGCGTCGACGGTGGTAGAGTCCTCGACAAACGAAGACTGTTCCTGCTGCTGGGGGAAGCGGCCGGAATCGACAGTGGTGTCGGAAAAAGTGGTGCGAGCCTCTTCGCGGTGGTACGTGGGTTGGTAGCGGGTGCGGTATTCGCGCTCAGCGATGTCAATGGCGGTGTCGTAGTTTGGGCGACGAGAATCGTACTCTACAGTAGTCTCTGAGAAGGTCGTGCGGGGACTGACATGGAACTTTGTTAGCCGTGTGTCTGTGTCTGGAATGCCACGCGCGATCAGGCACCGGGAGATCGCCAAGGCGTTGCAACTGGAACGAGGAATGACGGCACGCCCCGAGCCTTGCTGGAATGCTTGGGAAAACGTGTCGCCAAAAACCGTTGCAAAGACGCCAATGTTCACTCTCGACGTCACCTCACGCCTCTCTTTGACATGGACTTACCGGTTTTCACGAATGTACTCTCGGCGGACACCAGGACGGCGGTAACGTTCCTCTTCACGAGTGACACGGACCTCTTCTTCCCGGTAAGGGTAGTTGTTGTTGGCGGACTCGTTGACAACGTAAGAAGAAGAGTATTGACCTTCCCGTCCGGGCCGTTCGTGGTGCTGGGGGAGTTGAACACTGAACTCCTCGTGGGTCTGGGTGGTGTTCACCTCAGTGGGCTTGTTGTCCTCCTTGTAGGAAGACGGAAAGATGCTGAAGGGAACGGGGACTCTGGCTTCAAAATCCAGGTTGACGACCTTTGACAGCGAGCACGAGAAAGGAAAAAAAAAGTGCGAGACTTTTTTCTTCCTACCAGGCGCTCTTTCTTCAAAGGAAGGGGAGAAAGAGAATGAATTAGCCGGAGCTAATTGGATGGACGATTTTGAAAGTGGTTGGGTTGGAACGTGAAGCTGGAGATGGATGTGGTATGGAGAGGAAGAGAAGGACGAGAGGAGAGAAGGGAAGAAAAGAGAAGAAAGAAAAGAAGAAGAGAGGAAAAGACGGCAGGAGAGAGGATGGGGACGGGCTGGCAAGAAATAGGAAATTTCGCGAGAGTACGACGAGGGAAGGGGGCACACGGGCAGCAGCGAGGCGGAGGCAAGGGCCAGCGGCTGTCGAGCGCCAACTCTGTGGGAAAGAGCACAAACTACGCAAACATAGGCAGGACCGCCCACCGACGGATTCGGGCAGCGCCTTCCCCGACCCCCAAACAAAGCTAGTAGACAACAAAACAAACCGCTGCTGCACGGCAACCGGCTTAAAACTGGAGCAAATACACAGAAGCAGGCCTGTTGATCCCTCCTGATCTGAGGAAAGGGGAAGCGGGGGGGGGGGGGCAGAGTGTTCCGACCAGGGCGGTGCAGCCAGGGCACAACTCAAGCCGAGCCTGTGGGATGGTTACAAAAGCACTAAAAAGAGGAGATTGGAGATTGGAGTGCACTGAAAAGTAACAAACTGCCCGAAAACAGGGTCCAGACGCTGGTGGGCGCTTGTTTACTTTGCACATGGAGTGGGTCGTGCCCTCCACTTTTGGTTCTTTCCGTCCTCTTGCGGTTGGGGCTGTTCCTAGAGTTTCTCTTGCTGTGGAAGGACCATCCTGGCGAGTCGAGCAAGTCGAGCAGGTGCGGCAAAGCGTTGTTATTGTTGTTGTTTACAAGGTGCCCAAATTGGTTAGTGGGTCCGCACCTGCAATTATCGGCTTTCTTCAGCTAGCTGCCTGGCGCCTTCCATCTTCGCTCGCTGGGCTTTGTTGGACTTTGCTACTTCCAATGACATGTGCGAGTCAGTGTCGTGTCTGTCCTTTTCTTTGCTTTCTTTGTCTCCAGTTTCTTGTCGCGACGCACTCACCGCTGGTTGGGCTGCAATGGACGAGACAATAGCAAGTGGCAGGTAAGGTGGCTGCACGACAAGTAGCTCCTGGCAGCTTCCTTGGGACACTGTCATTTCCACTTGGCCATCAATTGGCCCCAAAACTGCATCACCGACCACCCTGATTTGTGATTGCATGATTGCACATGCAGTCAATGTGCACGACCCGGTTCTGCCGGCCAATGCAAGATGGGGGGGAGGTTGGTTTTGTTCAGTGTGTTGGGCCATCTTGAAAAGGCTGCGCGACCTCAGCTGAAAATCAAAACGTGCCAGGATGCAGACGCGGCACGCTATTTGGACAGTATATACACAGTATCGACACGGTACAACACAAGCTCACGCGCATGCGACGCTCGATGTACAAATAAGGTCATAGCTCTGGTGAGCTGTGCATGTCCTACTCCGTGGAACCAGCCCTTTAAAGGCTCATTCGTACGACAGCCCATCGATGCGGTGCTGCTTGTTGCACCGCTGGCCTGCCCGATTGCATTGTGTTGTGAAAGCGCGATGACAGATATGTCCTCCGTGAAAGGAGCAGTCGTCGACATCTAAGTGACTTTTGCACAATGTTGATTGGTGTTATCTGTAATCCGATCTATCCTCGTGCTTGTCGTCGTTGCCATGGTGAAGACGCCGTCGCTTTTCTGGGACCGTCTGGGCTTGCTGGGATCGACGACGTGCAAATTCGCAAAACGCAAGTCTCCGGAGGGCGAAAGCAAGAGGTGATGGGGCGGCGGACCTGGCCATGCAAATACTGATACGTATCCCGTACAGATCATTCCCTGGTTGCTGGCGGCCATGCGAAGTCCCAAATACAGCTGCCCTCTAGCAGTGTCTCGCAAAAGCACATGTCTTGGCTGCAGACGGGGCAACCCCCTGGCCCTGCCTCCTCCTCTACAGAATTTGAGCCTGTCCACTTGCGTTCGATCGTGGAGCTCTGTCATTGGACCGACAATGTGGATGCGGACACCAGCTGTTGAACTTGCTCGCCGAGCTGCAAGTGAGCCGCGCGTGTTTCGATGTATGCGAAGTACATCGTAGCGAGGCAGGCAGGAAAGCCGTTTACGATGTAGAGAAAGGCTGGCAGGGCGTCCAGCTTGAAAGGAATTCGATGTGGCAGTCTCAGTTCCTGCCCCTGTGCCGCCTTCTCCTCTCCAGTTCGGTACGGGAGATGTTCAAGATTTGGCGGATGTCTGTCCAGAGACCCATCTCGCCTGTGTTCGCCAAGGGTTTGTTTGGTCGCAAATTAGTTGGGACGAGAAAAAATGGGTGGTGCTTCATTTCCAGTTCTGGGACCTCTTTTTTATCTGGGTCGTTTTGCTGGATCGATGTTCGACTGGTGGACGGAGGCTTCGGGTACCTGTCACTTTTGTCTGATTCTGTCGCCGCCCCGCCAATACTAGCAAATGTTGCCATGACAACACGCAGCGCCAGGCCGTCACGACGCGACATCCATGGCGAGTGTGGGCAACGGTGAGGCCCTGGACGTAATCAAGTCGTGGACAAGTCACGCTAAAGCCTGCCGTCGCAGCGCCCAATCAACCCGACGGGCCAGGGGAAAGAGGGGCGCCTGCAGAGGACCATTGGCTAAATTTATCCCATATGGGGAACCGCCAGGGGCATACCACCACTGCCCAGCGAAAACTGAGATACATCGTGCTCCGTCAGCTCGAGGCTGGTGTTGGCTGTACCTTTGCTCTTCCGCCCGTCTTTGTCTCCGTATCAACAAACAGGGAAGACGGACTGAACGCTGTCGTAATGTTTCGGATAGCAACACGTCCAAGAGAGCGTGATGGAGCCACCGCCCGGAGACCAAGAAGCGGTTATGCCGAGGCTTGAACGTTATTTCGTCAGCTCCAGCTTCTGATGTTTTGTGCGAAAAGGACTTCGTTGTTGTTGTTGACTTTGCTCAAATATTGACACGCCATGACAAATGCGAGCACCCATCGTTGCTGATACACTGAATCACCAAGTCGTCACATGCGTATAGCGTACTGCCGCGTAAGAAAGCCGTAGGCCACATAAAACAAGTCGCGTCGGATACAAAACATATTCCGTACATGTGGCGCTGTGGCCCTGCATTGAGATTGTAATAAATATAAATAAAAAAACCCCCAAGAAAACACAAAAGTAAAAGTCCGCCGAAACTGCTTGAAAAAAAATATAAAATTATACAGCCGAAGGGAAATAAGAGGCGCTCAGACGCAACGACGCGATGACAAGTTGCTGTGCAAGATGACAACATTAATCTGTTGTAACGGCCAACTTGGCTGAATCGAGTGTGTCTGACGTGCGAGAAGCAAAGAAAAGCATCATGACGGCCGAAAATTGGAGGAAGAAAGGAAAGTAAATGAAGGCAGGCAGAAGAGAAAGTGTAATAAAAACAGATCAAAACACGTGTGTCCAATTAAAAACAGATGCAGAGAAAAGATGGAAAGTGAAACAAAGTGTCGTGCGACACACGTCGTGCGCGCACTCCTCATCGGTATCCAATACTTCAACCTCGTCCAAAGAGAGACAGACCCAGATGGTAGGCAAAGCCGTCAAAATTGGCCGTGTTGGCCGCTACCCGGTTCGCCTGGATGGGCAAGGCGTTGACTGGCGGTGCCGCATTTGGAGGACGCGGATAGACGGCACCCGGCGATATGGGTCCTGGGCCGGATGCTGGGGCGAGAATGGCCATGGTCTCAGGCCGGAATGGCAGGCTGCCTGGCACAAACGTGGCCGACCGTGGGGACGGGGAAGACGACGTGGCCGAGATGCTGGGCGAATGCTGCGGAGACGTGAAAGCAGAGGACGGGAAAAGGTGGGGCGAGTTGGGGGTCGGGAATGAGATAAACGAATCCATCGTGCTGGCCGTTGGAATGCTTGAGGCGATCCCCGGCACTGTCCTGAATGGTGGGCAATACAGGGAGAGCTCGGGCATGGTGCTAGGGTCTGGCTGCAATACGGGGCCGCTCCCTCCATGCGGCTGCAGTCTTGCTCGGATTGTTCTCAGCACTTGCCGAGCCGCTTCTAGAATGTCCCGGAACATGAGGAGCTCCTGGAACGACAGCAGTGTGTGGTCAATCAGCTCGCGTAGGGAGACATCGTCAACAAAGACCGCCAGGGCAGGCAGTGCGCGGGAGGCTGCGAAAAGGAGCAGCAAGTAGCGGCATTGGCTGTGGTGGGTCAGCATCTAGCAGAAGCGCATCGACGATCCTCGGTATACGTTGTATCCTGCAGAGTGACAGAGGAGTCCAACTTACAGCATAGCTGTCCCAAATGCGTTGGGCAGTATGAGACGGTCGCTCTCGAGGCCATGGTACGCCCTGATCGTCTCGGTCATACTGCACACAACCTCGGCCATCTCCTCCATGTCGACATGTTGCTGCGGCTTGAGCAGGCTGAAGAGCACACCATAGGACCTGGCTTCCCAATAGGCGGAGCACGCGCGAGCCGTCCGGACACTGGTTTCTGTGTGGGGCAATGTTGCACGGCCTGACAAGACGGCATCGAACTGGCGCCGGAGGTTGGCAACAGCCGTGTCGATTTTTCGTTTTTGTTCTTGGGTTGGTAAACCGTTGTCCCCGTGTGCCTCACCGTAGATGCAGTTGAGGTGACCTCGCAGGGTGGTCTGCATCTTGAAGCCGCCAATGGCCACATGCTCACTCTCGGTCTCGCTCTCCGTCTGACCACCAACGACTGCCTCCATGCCGGCCATCATGGTGTCGTCGCCTTTATCATGTGGAAATCTCAAAATATCAGAATCTGGTGTTGGCACCATGGCTTGATACCGAAGAAGCTCAGAAGGGGTTTGTCCCGTCTCCGCATTAATCTCGCTGTGGGAATGCTGTGTTAGCTTTGTTCACGTTCTGTTTTGCAAGGTTGGTGCATGATGGTACATACAACTCAAGTTGCACACAAGTCCAGTAGAGGGCGACCAGCTGCCGTTCGTCCTCGACAAGCCTGTGTGGATACTGGTTGTAGTCAATGAGGGACAGACCGTAGAAGCCTTGGATGGCGCCGTGTCCTCCTTCACCCCCTGGGCGATGGATGAGAAAATGGACAATGTTGCCTGCGTTCCGGACGTGGCCAGCTGCATCTTGGATCCGTGCCAGCTGTCCACATAGCAACGCTGCCAAAAGATACGCCCGTGCTAAGTCGAGTGTGGGAGCCGGCGCCGATGTAGAAGTGCCTGCGGCCTCTGCCGGCCGATAACCGTGAGTACTGTTCGTAGTAGCACTGGAGGCTTGTTTACGTTTTTCAGCAGCTAGTTTCCCGGACAGATGATAAAGGATGTTTGTGGCCCGATCTGAGAATACAGGCCCAGAGTCAAATATGGTATTGTCCCACTTGGCCCAGCAAAGTCCTCCCAATGCAAAGACAAGATACTCAATCGCTAGCTCAACTTGTGCCTGGAACGGGACTAGGTCCGCGACGATGCTTTTTTGCGGTCGCTCAGCCGTCTTAGAACGCCCCAGGAAACTACCCACGAGTTGGCCGAGGCGTTGTGGTGGCAGGATGTGATAAAGAGCCTGGATGTGGGTAGAGTATTTCTCTACGCAGGACGCAAGATGTGATGAATTGGGAGGCTCGGCGTGCGGCAGTCGAAACAAGGGCCTATGGTTAATGGAAGACATAGCAGACACAGTTGGCTGCGAAGCGCTGTTTTGAGACAACAGGAGAGCAGAGTCCAAAGACTGTTGAAAGTCACCGACTTCTCCCTGCGGCCTTGCCGACTGAATGGCTGGTAGGGGAAAAGTGTCAGTGCGAGCCTCCGCGAGAATGCCGTGTATGACATCAACAAATGGAGACTTGTTGAGAAGTTGAACGACTGGGGTTGTGTGACCATATGGTAGGGTTAATGAGCTGATATCTGCTGTCATTGTGTCGGCATGGGAATTACTATGCGCGTGCTGACGGCTGTTTTCTCCACTTGCGCTTTCAGCATCCCACATGTTCTCCTCTTGAGAAATATGTACTCCATGAGAATAGCTCTCCTCGCGACCGCCAAAGCTGACACTGTGATGGGCGAAAGCAGAAGCTTTTGGCGTGACCATGGACGGTGTGATGGATCCACTGGCCTGTGGGAGTTTCTGAGACAGGTTGATCCGAGGGACTTTGAAACCGGCCTTGTATGCTGTACGTGGCCCAACCTCGCCTTCCACGCTGCAGGATCGTGATATTAGTTACGTCGTTACTTTTGAGTGAAGACAGATGTGTGTTTTGCTGTGCATACCTGGTAACCCTGGGTTCCCTGTTTGCATACGGAATGGGGCTGTGGCTAGACACCGGAGCTTCGGGAAAGACTGCACCATTGTCATCACAGTGCTGATGGGGGGATGGACACAATGGTTTGACATTCGTTCTAGGGCTTGCGCGTGGCTGCGAAGCTGGCGCCGGTCTAAGGAAAGGAAAGAAGTTGGCTGACGGATGTGGTGGAGGCGGCATTGGAAAGTCTAGGATCGTTTCTTTCACATCATATCCGGATCCAGCGCTGGAGGATGAATGCGGCGGCGGCAGAGGAAGAGGACGAGGGTGCTGCTGCATTGGATTGGGCGTGGGAATCGGGTACGCCGCCTGTCGTTGGGCTCCTTGATGCTTGTGCGTCCGCCTTTGTCGCTTTGAAACAATCTGCTGACGAAGTGGCAGTGGTCGAGAGTAGGCCTCGTGAGCTTGCAAAGAAGAACGACTTCGTTTCGGTGGAACTGGCTCAGCTGGAAGAGGGCTTCTGAGCTGGAATGGCAGCGATTCTCCGGCTGCCAGCGACATGGCGGTCAGAGGCTCGGAGCCGGGACCAGAGTGTGACTGCGATAATATTGTGTGGCTGGGCCTCGTTATTGCTGTAGCGGGCGTCTGCAGCGGTCGCTGATAATCGTGCACGATTCCAAAATTTGGCTGGATGAATTTGTACGACGGGTACATAGAATGATCGGGATGAGGGGATACCGAAGCCGGACGCACCGGTGGCGGAAACTTGTCTTCCCGACGAATCTTGCCCCAGGCCGGCCCCCGAATGACATGCTGTGGATTTTGTGCTTGAAGCCTCTGGTGCCTTCGGGAGTAGAACTCCTTTGGGAGCGGCTGACTTGCCTGGTGCTGCTGTGGATCGCCCTGTCCCTGTTGGTGCGTCTGGTCGGGCCGGTCGTCGTGCTGATTTTGCTGCTGTTTTCGAGTTCCTAAACGGTGGCTGTGCAGCTGTCGTGATGATGTCGGTGTTTTGTCTTGTAGAGGATACCGCTGCAGAGTGAGTTCAAACCCGGCGTAGGGATTGTGAATCGGCTCCGTTGGAGGCTGAGAGGTATCGATGCGGAGCGCCGGCACAGACGACCGTGGCATGACAACTTGTTTAACTGTTCCTGGAGCATCTTTGTTGGAAAAGACGGCCCTGGGTGAATCGTCGTTTCCTCGGTGAGCCATTTTCAGTACAGTTCCAGCGATAAGGCTGGCAGCCAGGCGACGCCACGTCCGTCATAAGGGATTTTGAGAGCATGGGAATGAGGGAACGGTCAAGTGAAGCACAAGGAGAGTGAAGGTGCAAGGGAAAACAAAGGAGGAAAATCGAGTACAGAGAGGGCAGAGATGGACTGTTTTGCACGGCTAAAACAGGGCCAGGATGAATATGGTAGCTCGAGGGAGAATGCGTAGGGGACAGGAGCGATATGCTCACCGTAGCCGGGTGGCGGTGGTGGTGATGGTGTGACGAAGAGTTGGCGACTGGTGATGACAGGGGGAAACGAGGACGATTAGTTGAGGGTCCAGGATGGGGATCTGGGCCCCTTGGAACAATGGCCAAGAGACGAAGAACCAGAACAGGACAAACATTATGCAAAGGAGGAAGGAGCTACCGTATATTTATTTATCAAGATCTGGAGGAAGCGGCGTCTGTCCGGCCCCATCGCTGCTGCCGCATCGGGTAGGCTGCGATAGCTTCCCTGAACGAAGAGCGGCAAGAGGCGCTAAATCGCTCTTACCTCGTTTGGAGAAACGCGGAAGCGCCATGATGGCGTCTATGGACGTATCGAGGCAGGAGTGAGGCGGAATGTTGAGAAAGAGCGAGGTGGACGGGGGCCGCGCATGGCTAGAGGGGGGGTCGTCAAGAGGCCTCGTAGGGCCGCGTCTGTAAGGCTAGGTCCGCTGCGACGTGAGGGAAGGAAGGAACCAAAAAAAAGGAACAAAAATCAAGAAATAAAAAAAGAGATAAAAAAACTTAAATTGATAAAAAACTTAAAGAGGGCAACAGACACTTACAATAATGAGACGAAGGAGACGAACGCGGGACAGGGCCAGAGGCGAACAACAAGCGCGTAGCTAGATCCGTAAGAACAACGACATGGTGGACTGACCCCTGCAGGCACACATCTGCGACTCCAACGTGCAATAGCAAACACTTCGCCGATCACAGACGCCCTCACAAAGCATTGGCCGAGAAGAGGCCAGGGCCGATGCAATGACACTGCCGATCGAGCGTTTTCCCCGGCCTTTCTCGGCTTACAATACGACTGCGACTGTCTGTTCCTGGCAATCGACGCGTACCCTTTGCAAAAAGGACAATATTCCATGGAAAGGAAAACATGACAATACGCGCAGGTCGGGCTCTCCCTTGCCGACCTAGTTCGCTCGTACATAGAAGCGCGGTTAAAAACTGCCCCCTCGAGCGAGCCGTTGGATACAATGTACAGGACACTCGCTAGCGCAGCGTAGTTGACGATGAAAGAAACACATCCAAAAGACGATATAGCTAAAAGGGGTAAGATGGGCAGGAGGGTGTGTCGAGGGCGGACTACGGGGGTGTGCAAGATTTCAAAGTGATGAGATATGGTAGAAATAAAGTGTGCTTGTGCACCGCGCCTAGACGATGTGGATTTTGATAGAAAACGTCTCGGCCGTCGGTTCGTCGGAGCCGTTGGTATGAGGGGAAAAACACACAGGAAGATAGAGAGACAGAGAAAGCACAGCCAAACACAATGAGTCCGGAGTAATGCGTGCAGCCCGTGCCTACTCGGCCGTGTGGTTGCTGTCTGTGACCGACTTCTACTTCGTAGGCGCGAATGGTATGCAGACAGGGATTCGTCTTGTTTGGCTCGTTTGGCCTGGGGGTTGGTTACTTTCCTCTCAGGGCTAGACGATGCTTGTGCCAATCAAGTCAGATTCTATGAGACCGTTGCGAGTGCAAGCCAGTCCTCCGTATTACGGCCAGTAGAGAACGTTTGTATTTTTTTTATCCAAGATAAAAGACACTGTTATGTTATTTCGTGTGCAGTGGCTTTGGTCAAGCAAGGAGGACGTGCTCCTTGATTCTGACCAACCGCGTGCTCTATTCTATCTCTTTCTGGCATCCTCGTCAACAGTCGCCCTCAGCTGCCGTTGATCACGGATGCTTTTGCAACCGTTGAAACGACGAGCACGATATGGGCTGCGATCGGAAGGAAGAGGAATGGAGGGGGGCTAAGGAAGGAAGGATTGGGCGCGAGTGCCGAGTCCTTTGATAGATCTCGGGGGAGGGGGCAAGAGATCGCCGAAATCGTTGAAGAAGGAAAACGTCGAGGACAAAGGGCATATGGGTGGAGCGAAAGGTACGGGGTAGTCACAGTGGTAAGTGCTCTGGCTGGGTGTTGCCCGAACGTCGTCAATCAGCACACCCTCTCTATTGCGCCCAGAGTTGTCCTGGGTTGTTTGTGCGTTGTGATTTTCGGTTGTCTGTTAGGTGTAAGTGGGCAGAGAGTGGGTACGCCAGATGACAAGAGCGGCCATGTGATAGGCCAGCCGGGGTGAAAACTCGCCGTCTTTTCCAGCCGCATGGGGATGGTTCGGTCCACAAAACAAGGGGAAATAGACGCCCGGCTTGGGATGGCACATGCAGGTTCTGAACAGCACATGCAGGCTGGCACACCAGAAATGCAACGCGGCAACCAAACGACGACCCAGGTCACTGCGACTGAAGGGCCACAGAATATAAAAACCCAAGAGACAAGGTTGCCAAACCCTGGCAGCCAGGAAAATGAACGATCAAAGTCGTGGTCCGGGTCGTGGACCTCTGGCTGTTGGGCTGTGGCTGCGTATTGCATACCGAGGGCCGTGATGGAGCAGAGTTCGATATGCAATGTGACGAGATGGTGACTGTGAACTGTTTGGGCGGTAAATTCAATAGGACAGAGACAGGGGTAAAGTACGGACCAGTGCGTCGTAAACGTCGGACGGTTCGCATTCAAAAGACCAAAGGATCTCATGTAGAGCAACGTGGTCGGACATTTGTCAAGAAAATGCAGCCGTATCCATGGTCGGACGGAATTTCAAAAACCGGGAAAGCAGAATTGGTAAGAAAAGCCCAAATGCCTCTCAGGGCATGTGAGATTAATTGCCATCTCTCAGATGCACCTCGGGCAAGATCACAGCATCGGATGTGCAGTCTCCCGTCCGTCCTTGCGCGGCAGCGCCCTTCCTACAAGCGCGGCTGGCCTTTCCTGGACGAGTACAACGCAATTCTATGGACGATCCAAACGCAGAAGAGGAATTGGATGCCGATGACACGTAGGCGATGTGCATGCGATGTCCAGGCACGGCGGCAAACATACGCGTCTGTTGGGGGCGGAGGAGGCAATCTCCAAGCAAGGGCGAGCAACAGCCGCACGCAAAATAGGTGTGTCACTGTGACCATCTCGTATTCTCTCCCACTATTGACGGTAATATGGTCGGAACTAGCCGCTGAGACTTCTTTTCTTTGCACACCACAACTCAACAACGAGTCTCCCTGCCGTCGCCTCTCCGCGCTTCATGATTGCACATCACTCGGTTTCGTCGCTTCTGTCGCTTCTCTCGTCTCTCTCGCCTCTCTCGCCAGTCTTGTAGCGCGATGATCGACCATCACGGCGGCTTTGCCGTCTTCATCTCTTGTTCTCCGCTGGGGGCGAAGACGGAACCAAGATAAACAAACGCGGGCGTGTATTTTCTGCAGTTGGTCTGTGTTGGTTTCTGTTAGCTTATTTTTTTTCTTGCTCGCGGTGGTTTTTGTGAGACTCGATACTCATTTCTGATAGTCCATGAAATACATCTGCAAGTGACTCGTTTTGTCGTTCGTTGCCTACCGGATAGACTCCCCGTTGTAGCCGTAGTTTCAAGCATGAATTCGTATTTTGACCAGACGATGATGTTACCAGAGGCCGAGCGGCACTGGCACGGCAGCAACGCTGTCCAACCACTTACACGCATTTGGCCCCCGTACCTGAGCTGTCACACCGTTTGTTCCAATAGCACAGCAGTACTTCGATTGTACGTCGTAAGCGACCCACTTCATTTCACCTACCTTTTTGCCAGAAATATCATTAAAAGACGAAAAAGCATCAACTTCAAAATGCCAAAAGTCCACAAATATGTATTATTTGACACGAGCTTTTTTAGTAATGATTTTTATGTCTAAATATTATAAAAATTGTAATATTGAATTTAAAGAATTTGAAGATTATTTTTACAATTAAGTTAATTACTTAGCGTACAACGATACTTTGAAACGGAATTTGAAGGTTTTGAAAATAAAATTGAAATTCACACTTTTTTGCCGTGTTTTGTTGACATTTTCTTACGAAAAGGTGGGCGAAAATACGGGCGGGATCACTCGCTCCTCTATTTTTACACAAAAAGGGAAGAACGTACGGGGTGTGCCGCTCGTCTCAGGGTCTAGTCCCGGCTGTTTCCCAGCGGCCGCTAGCGTTAGCGCCCATGGGCACACCCTTGACATCTCACGCCAGCCACCTCTGTGCGCACCACAAAAACACAAGAGATATATATAAAACGAAGCGAACGAAACCATCTACGTGAAGACGTATCTAGCCCCATCTTGCGCCGGTACCCTCCATCATGGCACCATCTCGCCCACTTCATCCGTCAGCTCCACCTGACTTTATCTGGGCGTTACACCGATTTCCGCGGCGGTGTTTGGCCCCCAGGCGAACCAGAAAATAGGACGAGCCAGCAAAGCACACACAATATAAGCATCAATATGGTAAGTAGCCGCCTCTTGGCCTCACTAGCTAACTGTCTGCTCGAGCTTCTGCCCCCCAGGTTGATTTTTGAGGTGTCCTGCGCTGCCGCAGTTGCATCGGACATTGTTGTACGGAGTACGGAGGCATTCTTTTTAGTCCATTCATTCCGTTTATTTTATTTTATTTTACTTTATTTATTTAGACAAGGAAGCAAAGGTCGGCGAGCTTCGTAGTCCGCCGAGCTTTGAAGTATGAGTCTTGGCGTGGGCATTTCCAGTGCAGTAAGACCCACTTACAACCATAAAGTATGAACAAAAGTGCCAGCCTGGTCTCTGTATGTTGTAGATGTAACACGCTTTTTTAGTTCGCTTCGATGATACGCAAAACAAGTCTGCCCGACGGAGCCTTTGTAGTCGTCCCTGTCTCGGGATTGGACCTGGCATTTGTGGCTTGACTGCTGTTTTTCTCTCTCTCTTCTACTTACAACCCTTTTGAAAGTTGTGGTCTTTCTTTTTGTGTCCCGTGACCGATGACCGCTGCTGATTCTGAAACGAAATCAAGTCCACAGATGGAACCCTCTCCAAACGGCAACAATCCCCGCGCAATGCCAAATACAACAGGCAAAACAGCAGAGGGTCTGCTACGTATTCCTCGTCTGTACGACGTAAATGGCGTGGCCTGTCAAGAATGCAGATGGCTAACCCTTTTTGGCCTTTGGGGGTCGGCTGTCATTTTCAGCGCATCAAATGTTTCTGTCACAGTGTCGTACCGACTGCTCAATCCCATTTTTTTGGTGACTTTCCCAGCCTTTGTCGGCTTTGTACCTGGACCAGACCAGGGTCTAGTGATATTCAACCTTTGCATGCCGGTGCAGCAAAACAAACTAAAGAATCAGCGTCGCAGAATGCAACAAAACATGCTCCCTACAATCTTGTTGTGCAAAAGCCGAATCGGGTAAGGGGGGATGCAGCTCACATGGACCTGCATTGGATTTGGATGTGGATAACCCACGCGTGGTTGGCTCCTGGCCTGTGGTTTAGCGCCAGACTTTTTGATGTCGCTTTCGAAGTCCGCAGTCTCCCTTGCGTTTTTCTTTATTTCTATTTTAATGCTTATAAAAAATCTATTCATGATCTTGTCTTACTTCAAGTGTTACAGCCAACAAGTTCGTTCGCTGTGTGTGGTGTGGGTACAGTACACTCCAAAGTGTCGTGTGGCAGTCCTTTTTGGTATCGTATCACGGCGTATTCTTCGCACACGTCGCCGTGGATGTCCATGACTGTTCTCCGCCCCCCGTTCGTTGACAAACGCCATAGACGCGGCGTACTGTGACATTCATTTCTTCATCAGGAGCTGCTTTAAAAAAAAGAACTCAATTATCTTTCTCCCATGACTATATTATCATGACCACCATAAGTTCCTGACTGCTTTGTCGCTTCGATTCCTCTATTCACATTATGCATGGTCCCTAACTGTCTGCATTTCCTTGAGACGGTCGCCAAAAGTGGCCAGAAAACGATTGGCTTTTATTCGTCCATATTGTCTGTAGGTCGGCTAGACCCGACCTCCCTTCCTACATTTTTTAAGCCTCGCCTGTATCCCCTCTCGGCAGAATATGGTGCAAAACTTTGTAAAACAGCCGCCGTGGCCTCTTTCTCTCTACATTTTTGATTTACAGAGCCTTGGTCATATTAAATTGTGGCCCTCATCAAGACATAATTCACTGAGGATCTCTTTCTTCTTTCATTTTTCTTGTTGGTTTTTCTTTCTCTTTTTCAGTTTTATATTCTCTTTTTCCTTCGCCCTCCCTTTACCACTTAATGAACTGGTCAATCGCGTTTCTCCCATATTTTAACCGCAAGCGCGCAGTGCAGTGCCAACAAATCTCTGATATTAAAATCCCCACAAAATCATAAAAGGGGAAGGCTATATTGTGTGATTTAATGCCCTGTGTGATAGAGACAAACCGAGAGATTCAATATGAGAGTGCGCGTGTGGTACAGGGACGGGAGGAAGGAGAAGGAGAGGTGCGTTGCACAGACACGGGGGAAAAAAATGGGTCAACATGCAGCAGCAGATGCAACAGAGATACAACCAGATATAAAAACATACTTTGCGGCGACACGGGACAAAGAGGTCCCTGAGTGACTGAGAGAGAGAAAGCTGGAGACAGAGCCAACCACGACCGGGCATATAGACGCCCCGCCTAGGCTCCTTTTGTCTTCCCTCCCATTCAGACGCCGAGATGGCCGAAGGAGGTCCAGACAACCTGCCGAAGAATTGCCTGTCGTGCGCCTTGTTCCGTTGGCCTGTGATGGTGGTATGGTCACGCAGTGCAAAAGCATGGTTGCAGAGGGCCCGGCCAGCGCCGCACGGCTGTTGGTAAGAGTCGGCGTGTAGCGAGGGATAAAAAGAGTGGTTACGAGCTTGTAACCTGTGACCATTAACCAGGAAGTCAGTTATCAGGAATCGGGGAAAGTAGACACGGAATCTGAAACCACCATGTTGTAAATCAAGGCAGATTCAGTGAAACAAAAAGGCGACTGTGCGTCCCCTTTGACCTTCCTTGGGGCCTCTGACCTGGCATGCATCGTACAGGGGGCGACCGCTTTTGGCCGTTCTGTAGCCCGATGCAGCCACCGTATGACCTTTAGTGACCTCCGATCTGCAGTGCTCGTGGAGTAGCAAGTGAGCCTTGCGGAATAGAGAAAGAGAGGAACATCCAATGGAGTGCCAGTCGCTGCTCGACAATACCTGGCACCGCCGGCTCGCCAACCGCACGGCTCCTGCAAAACAAGCGGCGTCCAGGTGAAGGAGGTGCAGGCTGCGCGTGCATCGGCGTGAATGATCCAGGCGCCATCTAAAAGGGGCGTTGACTGTTTGGGAATTGGACGTTGGCTAGGCTTCCCATCCCTGCCTGTCTCGTCTCATTCTGCTTTTGGTCCATTCTGTGTCGCATTGTCCTTTGGGCTTCAGCGCCGCACGCTCTCTGATTTGTCGGCCTGCCTAATTTACCCAACCTCTCTCATTGTTCAATTGTTATTTCTCTCGCGACTGCTCCTTGGGCCCTGCATTCATGTCATCTTTTTGCCCTTTTTGTTTTATTGTGTCTATATAAGGACAGAGGGCTAGGGGAATCAAAGATGGGGCCGTGAAAGAGTAGTGGAAACGTGACACGATATCGACTAGGTGTAGACAGACTACCCACGCAGCAAAGTCCAAGGCAGAAGGAGGGCTGGAAGGCAATGGCGAGGCAATATCGCGACGATGTCGAGTAGATAATATTGACGGACGGATCGACTGCGAGCAAGACAAGAATTTATTGCTATGAATTTGCTATTGGGCATAGGTTGATCATGGCTATGTGTCGTGTGCGAAGCTGTCTATCCCATAGTGCGCATGCAATGCGTCTTGGGGGATGGTCGTCCTCACAAATCGCTCACAAACACCCCGACCATCTCCGATCCTAGTAATCAATCATCTTCACCTTCGACTGCACGTCGGCCGGCAGCTCGTCCAGCTGCAACAGGCCCGCCTTGATGCAGTCGCCTAGCACAAAGAACGCACGCTCTTGCGCGTAGCCGAGGTAGTCAAACTCCTCTTCGGGCTCGGTAGCGTCATCGGCCTCGACGGCCTTGCCGTCAATCGTAATATCGTCGTCGTGATCCTTCGCAAGAACAGAGGCAGCAGACGACGAGCCCTCCTTGGGCGGCAGGCTGAATCCGGGCACCTTCGCTTGCACAATGCCCCAGGCCACCCACATGGCACTGTTGGCAGCGCGCCACAGCCGCGTCTCTTCCATGAGCTCATCGACCTGCCGCTCCAGCAGCTCTTCGCGCCGGCGCTCCTCCTCCATCCAACCACCCGGCGGCGCGCGCGCGTCTAGCATAAAGTCGACAATCGAGCTGGCCGAGGAGGCTGTGTGCGAGATCGACTGATTCGGCAGAGTTTGGGCCGACGGCAACGTGGGCGGTGCCGAGGCGGTGCCGGCCGAATGCACACCGGCAGACAGCACAGGCCCGGAGAGCGGCTGCTCCAGTAGAGGTGGCAGAGGCGGCAGCGACATGGGGCCGAAGCGCGGTGTGCTGCTGGCGCACTGGTGCGGGAACTCGGGGCGGTGGTCGACGTAGGCACGGATGAATCGGCGCTGTTGCTCGGGCGTCGGATAGCGGTCGGCGAAGCAGACGTGCGAGGCTACGCTGTCGTGATAGTTGTATGTCCACTCAGTGAAGTGGTTGGCAAACTCGTTGCCCGGAAGGTTGGCCGAAGCGTACTCAAAGTCAATGACAATCAGCTGCTTGTGCTCATTCTCGGGCTGCAGCAGCGGCGACCGTTCGTCGGGGCGAATGCGCAGAATGTTTCCATATTGTGTCTGTAATAGTGGTCAGTACGGTCTGTACGGCTGGAAGTAAAGAGGGGTTAGACAGGTGTAGGGACACAAAACACGCGACTCACATCGTTGTGGGCAAAGATTAAGCGGTCTCGGATCCTTCGCGATCCGCCGTAGTAACTCTTCACCATCTCGCGATGTTTTTCGAGAAGCGCCTTGAACTTGGGCCACTCCACGCCGCACACGTAGCCTCTCGACTTCCAGGTGTCGATAAACGAGCCGGTCTGCGGCGGCAACGCCGCGTCGCTGGGGACGGGAGCGCCGTCCTGGGCAGCCTGCCGTTGCAGGCGCTCGCGCTCTGCACCGAGGCGCACCTCCCGGTCGAGGAACGTGATTGTGGCTTCCACCGTGTCCAACCAGCGGTCCCAGTTCCGCCACACAGTGGGGCCTGCGTCCAGCTCCTCCTCGAGCAGTTCGACACCGTCGTGCAGCTCGCGCATTCGCTTGGCAATCTGCTTGGAAGTCTCAGGCTCGCGGAGGTTGGCCGCTGTCAGCGTTGTTGCCTTGAAGAACTGCTCGAAGCGGCCGTTGGCAAAGGTGCCTAGCAGGCGAGGACCGATCTTCTTGCGTCCCAGACGGCGTAGGACGCTGAGCTCCTTCTCACGGTCGATTAGGTGCTCCACCTGTGGGCCGTAGATGCGAAGTAACAGCTTGTTCGGCAGCACGGTCTTGCCGCTGCCACCCGCCAAACTGAGCGTGCTGCTGGAGGGTGTCAAGCCCGATGGCATGACCAGGGGCGACATCCCGGCGTCACTTCCACCACTGTGGCTCTGGCTCTGGCTCTGGCCCAGGCCATTGTTGCTGTGCTCGCCGCCGCCCAGGTCTGCGGGAGGCGACACCACATAGACGGCATTGGTCAGCGCACCACTGAGACGCTCAACGGTGATTGTCTCGCCAGCGTCGAGTGGGACCTTGCGCCAGCCCTTCAGGCGGAGTGTGTGTGCCAGGCGAATGATTTCGTTCTTGAACTTGTACCATGCCTGCCGCTCCTTGTCCTCGCGCCGGCTCGAGATGGACCCGGCGTCTGACGCAGCCCGGCCGCTGCTGCTTGCCAGTGGGATGCTGGTCGTAGACGTCGAGTACTTGAGCGTCTTGGAGTTGTCCAGGACGGCATCGCAGCCCGGCACCAGCACGTCGCCGTCCATGTATTCGGTGTCGGACGAAGCCGTGCGACCGGGGAGATAGCGCAGCGTGCGCGAGTGGCGGCGTCCGCTGTTGCTGATGCCGCTGCTGCTTAGGCCGCTGCCGCCACCGCCGCCAATACGCAGACCGCCCACATAGTTGGAGATCGACTCGATCCCAAGAGCGGACATGTTGTCGTCGATGATGCGTTGCAGGCGGTCGAGAGACACGTCGCTCGACGCTGAGCCCGTCGATGGTGCACGGTGGTGTCGTGACACTGTGGTTTGACCGACAGGGATGTCATCATCGTCGTCACAATTGTCGACGGCGGCTGCTGAGGTGGTGTCGCGCGCGGCTGCAGTGTTGTCAGCTGCTAGCCGCTCGCGGCGCTCTTTCGTCTTGCTGCTCCGCTTGGCACCGTCCTCGGCCGGCGGTGACCGGTTCTTGCGGCTGCCGTGAGCCCGAACCTTGCGGGACTTGCGAGTTTCCTTCTTGATGCGCTCGTGCTGGATCCACTCGCTAATCTGGGCGAGGAGGCGGCCACTGATATGATCGACGGCGCGGTGACGCTGCTGGTGGTGGTGCTGCTGTAGCGGGTTGATGAGCGGCCGCACGAGGGGCGAGGCGTTTTGGCGCGGGTCGTCGGCGGCCAGCTGCGCCGGCGAAGTCATGTACGTGGCCAGGCCATCGAGACTGGTCTGGCTGCTGACGGAGTTCCGCGAGGACGCGGGTAACGGCAAGACGGCCGCCCGACCGCTGAGGCGCTTAGCTCCTGTGACCGTGAACTGCTTGCGAGGCGGCAGCTCCTCGACGGGCGGCGGCTCCAGGACGTCCGTAACGTCGGGCTCGGCGATTTGCACCGCTGTAAAGCTGTCAACATACATTCTGCCAGCGGGAAAATGAGAGAATGACAAAGAAGAATGGTGAGTAGCCCAGACAATACTAGGAAAGAGTGTCATAATAAGGAGGAGGTGAGCCATTGAAATAGGCACGCGACAGTGACTAGCCGAGTTCTCAAAAAGGCACACGACACTAGCCACCATGCAGTACAACAAAGGTGCCAGCCCCCACGCAGCAGCAGCAACTGCAGCAGCAAGGTGGCCACCGAGGGCCACATGACCCCTTTTTGTTGCGAGGCATATGGTAGATTGAAGGTCGACGGGGGCCAGACCGAGGACAACGACGGGGGGTGAGGGCGAGTAAGCACACAACACCAAAAAGATGTGCATATAGCTGCATGCATGAAATTGCGCAGAGATAAGACAAAGACAGACCAAAACCAAAGTCCATACATATGGCGCGAAAGACCGTAAACACCAAACTATCAGATACTCATAGAGAAAATACTCATAGAAGCTCACCTTTTGTCAGGCCACTCAAGGGCGGCGTCCGGTCGGAATCGTCGCGCAGAGCTGACCGGAGAGGCACCGATCGGGGCGAGCTGGTCGGCGCCTGTGGGTTGGACATGGCGCCCGACTGTAGTTCCTGCGGCTGCTTTTACAGCGGCTGCTGACGGCTTGTGCCGTATCGAATCTGATCCGCCAGGAGAAGACGCCGGGGCTGAGGACGAAAGACGGAATGGCGTGGAAACAGAGGACGCGAAAATGGACGCCGCACTGTCAACACGGCGGTCTACAGCCAGCCCGCAGGAGAGGTATGTAGCGCGTAGGCGGCAAAGGCTGGTAATTTCTGTAATGTCAACAGTCAATGGTCAACAATAGCGGCTGAACGTCTGTGGTGAGTTGTTTTGCCTTTATCGCGAGCAAAGGGCACAAACGATGTTTGTTGAGGTCCTCTGGTGCAGAAATGGGGCAGGAGCCTCAGTTTTGGCCCTCAGGCTTCGATCCGCTCCCATTCTGGCCATTATGGGCCACTTTCACTTCCAAGGCAAGTGCGAACGTCACTCATGTATTTTTCGCCTCTGAATCGCATTGGTGCATATCGTGGGATTTATATGTATTTATCCGAACTATCGTCTCATGCACACCACCATACTACGGACCGCCCATACAGAGACACGTTAATAATGTGAGGTCAGCCACCTGCAGAGTGGTCACCCGACCGCAGGCGGTCCGGGTCCAGACGCCGTTCTGCATTCTGCTCGCAGGCTGGTTTGCTGTTGCTCATGCAGGCCATGCATTGTTCGCAGTGTTTTTTTCGCCTGCACATCCCAATTGAGCTGACCGAGTGCATATCTGCATGCCAGCCTGTAGGCGCTGTACACCTGTGTCTCAGTAGGAATGAGCGCCGCTAAAGTACACAGCAATTACACAGCACGCGGGATGCTCCGCACACCGCCGTTTGATCGGCTCGCATGCTCTGCTCGGTGGCCAGCAAAGTATCGTCGGTCAACTCGATGAGGTGTCACCTGACGACACCTTACCGGCCTCAAAACCGTCGTGGTTCTTCAGCTGGCCGGGCTCCGGCATTGGCATTCGGCCGTGCTGTCAGCAATCGGCCGCTGCTCCCATCTTCAGCTGTGCGGCTGGCATCGCTTGCATTCCTTTGTCCGCGCCCTCGTTTGCTTGTTTGTTGCTGCTCGTCGACCCTTACAACACGCCGTCGCTTTCGCCCTTCAGGCGCTCAACACGTTTCTGCTCCCAGTTGTCCAGATCCTTGTGTGCCAGTCGCTGCCAACACGTGTCAGTCACAGCTGATCGCTGTCGATTCTTCCCAGGGGAAAAAGGCCTCAACAAAAGCTTTTACAAATGCTCCAGAGTCCACTTACGTTGTATTCTTCACGCATGTTCACCCGCCGGCCGCTCTTGCCGATGCCCAGCTCGTCCTCGCGCGATACCATGCGCACCTTGCGGTCGTGCCGTTCGTAGCGTATCGCCGTCGCCGGCGTCAGGACAAACGACCCGCCAATGATCACGGCCATGAACGGCAGCCCAAAGAGCAAAAACGGGTGCTTGGCCATATGCGCACGGTAGCGAGCTGCAAATGTGTTGGCGTCGGCCGCCGACCGGTACCGGTTCTTCTGGAACGCCATCCGGCGGAGTGATGGAAGCATTGTCGGTGTCGAGGTGGTGATCGAAAGCTGTGTCGAAGGTTTGTGTTGTCGCCGGTCGTCGCAAAAGAAATGGCGCGACGTAGGATGTGCACTGACACCGCGAGCACTATTTTTCTCCAGTGCGCTGGGGCCACAAGGGGGACAGTGCGGCTAGCAGCGGGGTGATCTTCCTACAAATTGATTCACGTGACCACGCGATCAGTGACTGAAGCCTTTGGGGTCGCTCTTTCTTTTTCAGGTCGCGCGTCTCGACGTGACGCTCAGTTTAGACGGCAATTGGCAAGAACGCAGCCTCGCCACCACCACCATCACCACTAACAACAAAAACAACAACAACAACAACACCACTACGGCCATAGCTCCTCTCGTGGTCCTCGCGAACCCGGGTCCGATGCATTGTCCGCGACACATGTTGCAGAGGCCCGGTGTTGTTCCACGATGAGCATCCCGCCGGAAAATGCCTCTCTGCGGCCCGACGCCGAGGGCGAGCCTGCGCCAGCCCCTATGGAGTCTCAAATCCCAAACAATAATTACAGCGTCGACGACGATGGGACTGAAAATCAAGAACGAGAATCCAAGAGACGAAAGACCGAGCCATCGGCCCCAGTGCCGATCTTGACAAACATCCGCAACCGGATATGCGCCAAGTTCGGCGTCGAGATGGGCGACAATGTCCGAGAGACACTTAGTACTATGTGGTAAGTTACAGACACATAGGTTTGAGCTCGAGACATCCTTCCTGCTGACACAATCTCCTCCCTTCTCCCCAGCGAAGCGATACAGAGTCGTGAGGACCTTCAAGACGAGCAGACCATCTGCTCCGCCCTCGAGTTCCTCAGCCAGACCCTGTGTGCCATCGACCACACAGCAACCCTTGCCGACCCCCACGACAACAGCTCCCCCATAATGTGCAAACCCTGCAAGACATTTGACACAACATATACACCATCTCGACACAAGGAGAAGGAGAGGGGGGACGCTGCGTGTGCGTTTCAGCTGTTCCTGAACATTATCACGACACTCGTTCCAACGACTGGCCCGCTCACTGTACGAGCCTTGATACTTCTTCGGCGCATAGTTCTCCATGCCAACACGGACGACATTCTCGACTACGAGCAGTCGGATCTCTGCAAGTGGTGCTCGGCCCAGCTTTACAGCCCTGACAAAGCCGTCCGGGACCAAGCAGCGTGCGTATGAAGTGGCACGGCTTTTTACGAGTCCCTTTCTTCTGAATACGTCTGGCTAACATTCGCAGAAAATCCGTCAGCGTGTTTGTGCGCGACCGGACAGATGCGTCCATGTGCGTAATGGAGAAGAACCGGCGGCGTTTCTACAGCGGGCTAGACCACATGCTGGCCTCGGGCGACTGTATCATGCAGGAAACAAGCTCGTTGACCTGGATGTACATGGCAATGTAAGCACACACTGTCAATTACCAGCTTTCTTTACGTTCATCCGGACCCCCTCCCCCCACCTCCACCTGGAACATGCAGCTGACTTGCATCAAGGGCCGTTGCCGAAAACCAGCTGAGGCCCATGCTGTGTGGACTGCTGGCCCATCTAGACAGCGAACACATGCCGGTCTGGAATATGGCCATCTTAGAAGTGAGTAATGATCCAACGTCAATTGTCGTTTTCGTTTGTATTCCTGTCTGTCGACTCTCAACTCGCGTGCGCCCGTCCTGACAACCCGCGTCACAGATCCGCCATCTAGCGAGCCACTTTGGCCGGACTCCAAACGAGATCTTCGAGCCGTATTGGCGCAAAACGGCACATTTAATTGTCAAGCACATAGCCGATCGGCCGGATGTTGCCAGTGCCATTGCCAACCTCTTTGGCACGACCGCTCCAAAGCTGGCACTGCACCTGCAGTCCCAAGCTATCCCTTCGCTGCTCTTCAACCACCAGACGGCTGCCATCCGAAAAATTTCCGAGTACCGTGGTGACGGTGACGAGCTGTGGCTCACTTTCATGGATAAGAGCAATCTGACATCCATCTTGGCCATGTGGGTTCGACTTCCGGCCGAGTTCGGCGCTCTGGACGATCTAATGGAACGCTTCCAGACATTTTCTCCCCAACTTGGCCTGGCCACCATCCGCGACGTTATGGGCGCCGCCGCTGTTCCTGTCCTGGCCGAGCTTTTCATCCATCTCACCTACGAATCTACACCCTCATCCGTCCGTTTTCCAAGCGTACGTGCCAGTCCCAGGAATCTCGCTCTCGCTCCTTGTACCCTTTACAGACACAATTGGCAACTAACCTTGGCACAGATCGTTGAAGGAATCGGCTTTAAGCCCATCCTCACCATTGCGCGACTATTGAACACCAACACCAGCCTGCAAGCAGACGACGAGATCGTCATTGGCTTTCTGTCGCAACACGTTCTCGGCTTTACCACACGTCTTTCCGATGTCCGCGTCTACGACGGCAAGAGGCATCTGTGCCATTGGGTTAACGGTATCGAGGCGCTCGAAATTCTCATCAAATACCTTCGGTCAGAAATTCGAGTTGCCCGTCCACAAGTCATTGCATTTCTCCTGGACGCTCTTGGTGACCACCCTGGCTACGCGGCCTGCTGGCAAGCCAGTGTACGGCGGGCAGCCATCTCGTGCTGGGCGGCGCTGGTGCAGAACGTCGGCGAAGAGAATGTGCACACGCTGGTCGAGACGACTTTTTGTGTTATTCGGAAAAATTGGAGCCAGTTTGGTGATTGGGAAAAGGAAAAATGCCAGGACTTGCTGCAGTGGCTGCTAGCTAAGCCCAATGGCCGCCACCGGGACTGCATTGTCGAGAAGATCGACGTGCTTCCGCGTCTCAACATCCCCGAACTCCAAAGAGCTGTCGACAACAAAACGGACAAGCTGCGGAAGCCGCTCGGTGGCATGCAGACCATCGACCTGTTTGCACAGCGCATCACGCACGAGAATTTAGACGTCGTCTGGGTCGCCCTGGAAGATGCAAAGGAATTCCTGCAACACAACCAGGATTCCTTGCAAGCGCCCACGCAGGGCGAAAAGTCTGACTCGGCCGTTGCTCACTTCGTTCGCGCGCTTCTCGACTGTTCTGCAAAATACAACGTGTCAGAGCCGGCTTTGGCATCAGCGTGCATGGCTTGCATTGGCTTCATCGGCTGCCTGGACGCGAACCGGCTCGGTGCCGTTGCCAAGGATCCGCCATTCGTGGTGATCTACAATTTCTCCAATCTGGAAGAGAGCATCGACTTTGTTATTTACATGCTGCAGCATGTCCTAACGCGCGCCTTTCTTTCTGCAACAAACTCGACAAGCCAAGGGCTGATTGCGTATGCTGTGCAGACCCTGTTGACCAAGTGCGGGATCAACAATGCCATCTTCAGTCAAGGCCGCGAGCTAAAGTCCACGTACGAGAAGTGGAAAGCGCTTCCTGAGCTGGTGCAGGTTGTCCTTTCCCCTCTCCTTGTCTCCAAGTACCACATTGCGTTGCCCGCGCGTGTTCTGATCCGATACCCCATCTTCTGGCCTGGCCGGACCTATGGCGACTGGCTGAGGACTTTCGTGGTCGACCTCCTGGCCAAGCCGCAAACCCAGTTTGCTGAGATTCTGCACGAATCGCTGTCGCGCACGGCAAGGGGCAATGACCTGGCAGTAGCCGAGTTCTTGCTTCCGTACATGGTCGTCCACGTTGTGACCGGCCTGCGCAGTACCGATGAAGACCGCGAGCAAATCACGCTCGAACTCCAACACATTTCGCAGTATCAGCCACCTGACGAAGCGCCGTCCGCCGATCGAGAGCAGGCAAAGTTGTTTTACGATGTGAGTGGCCCTTGACTGCCAGTTTTCATTGCTCTCTCTCTTTCTCTCTCTAACATTGTAGGCCGTTTTCCGTGTGATCGAGTACGCCCTCGTCTGGCTGCGTAGCTCCATCCATCACGAAAAGCCAACTGGCGTCGCGCACATGGAAAAGTTTATTGGTGCTTTCCCAGCGGAAGTCCTTTCCCAAAAGGCATTATATTGCAAGGACTATGCGCGGGCCATGTTCTTCCTCGAGCCTGTGGCAATGGCCACCGTACCCGAAGAAGACGCCGAAGAAACGGCACGGCGGGACAAGGCGGAATCCGACATGATCGACATCTACGCGCAGATCGATGACCCTGACTACCTGGGCGGCATGATGTCCAAAGCCGGCAGTATTGTGGAGATGAACACGTATCGAAAGGCCTTGCTCGAGCAGAAGGCCGGTCGATGGGAATCGGCAACGACGTGGCACCTTTCTGATCTGAGCTCGGAGCCAGATAATGTCGACATCCAGGCCCGCGTTCTCAAGTGCTTTTTGGAAGCTGGCCATCATGGTAAGTCAACAAGTTGGCGGCGCTGCGTGACTTTCAGTACCTCAAAATCATCATGTATTAACAATATAGACGCTCTTTTGGCGAGAGTGGATGGCATGAATTTGTCGGAGGCACCTGCTGGCACGGTCAGCAAAGTGCTTCCCCTGGCCCTTGAGGCATCTTGGGCCACCTTCCAGTGGGACAAGCTCGGCACCATGGTGCCAATTTACAAGGGCGACACGTTTGACATTTTCAACGTAGGCGTGGCCAGTGCACTGTCGCATCTGCAGCAGCTGAACATGACTGAATTCGACAGCGCCCTAAACAAAATTGTCGATCGCATCGCCGCATCCATGTCATATTCAACAACCACGTCGCTGCAAGCATGCCACGAAGCCATGTTCCGTGCCCATGTGGTCACTGATCTTCGCCTGATCAGTTCGGTAACCAAGGCCGAGGCAGACGTTATGGAGCGACGGTCCAGCGCCCAGGGCCCCAAAAAGACAAGCGCCGCCCTCGCCACCCTCATTCAGCGACTGGATTTGCTCGAAGATGTCAGCGACAAGCGGTATCTGCTGGCGCTGCAGCGAGCGGCCATGGAGTCGCTGCGGCCCATATATGGCGACAAGGAAATCTCAACGCTGTGGCTCCTGAGTGCACGACTTGCGCGAAAGACCGGCTCGAACGGCGAGTGTCTCAAAGCCATTGCGCATGCGCGACAGCTCGGCGACCCGGCGGCCGAAGTGGAGAACGCTCGACGACAGTGGGCGTGGGGCGGTAAGCACCAGGCCATTGCGGACCTTCGATTGGCCATCAGTCGCGGCCTTCCTAGCAACGAGGGCGACAGCGGCGGCAGCGGCGTCGCGAGCGAGCCAGGAACCGGGTCGTTTGGGCAGAAGTGGTCGATACACGAGGCGGCGCCGCTCGCTGCACGGGCGGGTCTGCTGTTGACGCGGTGGCTGGATGCGAGCGGCGAAACGTCGCGGCCGGTTCTGCGCGAGAGCTACAAGGAGCTGTCGAGCAAGTACAACGAGTGGGAGAAGAGCCACTACTTCTTGGGGCGGCATTACAAGAAAGTGCTCGAATCTGAACAGGCGCTCAAGCCGGACGAACAGAGCGACTCGTTCTTGATGGGGGAGCTCGCGCGCCTCGAGATCGAAAGCTACCTACGCGCGGCACGGCTAGGCACCAAGTACCTGCACACGACACTCCCCCGGTTTCTGACAGTGTGGCTCGGGCTCGGGTCGCAGATTCACAAGGCACCAGACGGCAAAGCGGCGGTGGCGGAGGACCTCGTCCAGCGGCGTACGGAAGTGCTGATGGGTCTGCACCGACGGCTGCTGCGACAGGTTCAGCGACTGCCACCGTTTATCTTTTACACGGCGCTTCCGCAGCTGGTTGCGCGTATCAACCACCCGAACAGGGAGGTGTGCTTTGTGCTAGACCAAATCATCACCAAGGTGGTGCAGGCATACCCGCAGCAAGCATCGTGGAGTGTATTTGGGGTGATGACGACACGGCCCAAGGACCACCCGATAAAGAAGCCGGCGGCGCGACTGATCAAGGCGCTAACGGCGCAGCCGGGGGCAACGGCGAGCCTGAAGCATATACTGCGGGCGGGCATCACCCTGGCGGATGACCTGGTCAAAGTCGGACGCAAAGGCAACTACCGGGCGAACAGCGCGACCAAGGCTGCCAGCCTGCAGCGTGACATGAACTTCCGCATGAACGACCCGATTGACCTGGTGGTGCCGATTGCGCGGTGTCTGACGGCGACGATGCCAGGGCGGATTGCAGACTCGAGCACCGCGGGCGGCGCATCGGGGGTGTCGTCGCCGGCAGTGGTAGCAACGGCAAATTCGACCGGGGAGGTCAGCAACAGCGCGACGGCGATGGCGCTGCTGACGCACAATGCGTTTTCGTCGGATGTGATTACAATCCATGCGTTCATGGACGAGGTGCTGATCCTGGGGTCGCTGGCGCAGCCGCGCAAGCTGACGATCCGGGGCTCGGACGGCCGTCTCTACGACATTATGCTGAAGCCCAAGGACGATATGCGAACAGACCAGCGGATCATGGAGGTCAACGCGCAAATCAACCAGGCGCTACGCAAGGACACAGAGGCGACGCGGCGGCAGCTGTCGATACGGACGTACGCCGTGACGCCACTCAACGAGGACTGCGGCATCATCGAATGGGTACTTGGTCTCAAGACACTACGCGAAATCTTGCGGCCGTACTACGACTTGCGGCGGTCGCAGGTGCAGCCGCGGCCGCCGGAGCCACTCGAGATCCAAAAGATGCTGACGGACGCGGGCACGCCACGACAACGAGTGCACGTGTTTACGGCGACGGTGCTCCCTGCGTTCCCACCGGTCTTGCAAGAGTGGTTCATGCGGCGGTTCCCGTATCCCGCCGTGTGGTTCACGGCGCGGCTGCAGTTTACACGGTCTGCGGCCGTGATGTCGATGGCAGGGGCGGTGCTGGGACTGGGCGACCGGCATTGCGAAAACGTGCTGGTGGACCAGGACAGCGGCGGGGTGATGCACGTGGACTTCAACTGCCTGTTTGAAAAGGGCAAGCTGTTCACGCAGCCGGAGACAGTGCCGTTCCGGCTGACGCAGAACATGCGGGCGGCGATGGGCATCTGTGACGACCGAGGCCCGTTCCGACGGTCGTGCGAGCTGACGCTGCAGATGATGCGCGAGCAGGAAGAGACGCTGCTGGCGGTGCTGGAAGCGTTCATCCACGACCCGACGCTGGACCTGCAGGCAGACCCGCGGGGCGGCCACCAGCACCATGCGGCAGCACGAGCAAAGCCGCCGCCGGTGGTCAAGCTGGACCCGCAGAGCGTGGTGAAGAACATCAAGCGGCGGATTAATGGGCTGCTGTTGGAGGAGACGATACCCCTGGGCGTGGAGGGCCAGGCGCGGGAGCTGATCAAGCAGGCGACGGAGGCGACGAACCTGTCGGCGATGTACATTGGTTGGGCGCCACACTGGTAGTGGTATGCAGCCCGATGTTGGCGTTTGACAGGTTGGCGGATTTTTGATGCATTTTCGGCAGGTCGCATTTTTATTTTTATTTTTATTTTTATTTTTATTTTTATTTTTATTTTATATATATTTCTATTATATTTCTTTGGCAAGGTCCTTGGGTTTTGTTTACAGATACAGCAGCACGCACATAGCACGCACATACTATCACACACATATACAGAGTACAGAGTAGACCAGATATGAATGAATATAATGAATCCAAATGCAGAACAATATACGACATACTGGTATGAATGCTGTACGATGGCGGCGCAATTTAATGTAGAGGTGGCGGCGATGCGATTGGGGTGCAGTATTGCTTTTACGTGGGAAGGGACGAGCGGGCAACCGAAATGGCCGGAGACTGTGGATGCACACATACGTGACGAGATGCTGATGAGGGAAAAGAGCAACATGAGCCGACGAGACAAGAATAGATACGAGGTGGGGTTGTTTCTTCGTTTGGGGGGGGGGGGGGGGGGGGTTGACGTTTAGTGTCAGATGAACAGCGAGGGTTGCCAAGAAGGAAGGAGGGGAACCAAGCTATGTTAACACGAAAGTGCGATTAGCAGCCAGGAACCTGGGCAGGAACTCGGGGCGAAAAACAGGAACAGGGAAAGAGCGAGCGAGCGAGTGGTCGATCTGTACGTCGTACCTGCCTTGGACCGAACCAAAGTTTGGGGGGTTTCGTGCAGTCGCCGTCATGCACTTTCCCGACCTTTCGAGACTCGATGGAATCAGTCAAGCGTTTAAGTGGGCGATCGTGGAGAAGGAGGGGTAAGCAAGAGCAAAGGACACTCTGGAGGGAAGGAACGATCGGCGATTGTTTGGCGATTGTTTTGGCGATGACGTCCCCGTCCAACCACCGAAAAAAAGGTGAAACAATAAGATCTCTTCGCTGCCAGGGCATGACGCGGACCATTGTCATCAAGACGTAAATTGCCGTTCTGTTGTCCGTTCTGAGCCGACGGTGCTCCAATTCCCTCATCACGACCGGCGATGGCGATTCTGTGGTCACAGATATTTGATGTTCCCTCGTTTATTAATACAAATACAAACTCCCTTGGTGGGGGGAAGTAAACGAGGCCGCGCAGGTTTCAAGGGAACGTGCGCTGTGCGTGTATTTGTCAAACCCGGAGGGCTGCGGAGAAGATGGAGGGTGCAGCAGCGGATGCCGCGGAATGTAGGATGGACGATGGACGATGGACGATGGACGATGGACGATGGACGATGGACGATGGACGATGGACGATGGACGATGGACGATGGACGATGGACGATGGACGATGGATGACGCAGGATAGAAACTACAGTGGTGTTTACAACCGGTGTTTGCGAGGGCTGTTTCCACAGGTAACAGCCCATCTAAATACAAATAGATTGCACCTTTGTGATCGTGTCATACCACTTTACCTGACGCCGTCGGTTGGTGACGCACTCGGTGCCTTTTTGATCCTTTCCCAGTCCTCGTCCACTTCCTGTCATGGCCTCTGCATTTACGCCACACAGCCTCTAAATTTCTCAGAATCGGCCACACTGGACAGGATAGATTGGCACGCACACTTGTCTTGGTCTCATCCTTCGTGTTTGCTGTAAACACGACCGGGTTACGTCCTCGCTGATAGGGACTGGTGCATTGAGCGTTGATTGGTCTCCCTTTGGAGAGGCCGGTTCATGTCCCGTTTCAGTGCGGTGCTCCACCTCATGCTGGTCCATTTATTCTAAAAGATGTGCCGCGCATGCGAGGCGGCCGTTATCATGATGCGTTTACTCTGTAAATTGAATTGAAAAAAAGAGAACAAAAAAAGACTACGAAGATAACCATGAATTAAGGATCCGAGGTACCAAGGGAAGAGAGACAAAAGGAAATTAACGAAGAAGAGGACCATAACGTGGACATCGTGGACAACGTGGACAACGTGGGCTTGAAACGAAGTGTCTTGGTCGAAGGGATGGTTTTTGATGACAAGGAGACTGGTGGACATTGGCAAAAGGACGAAAGTTGTGTGAGCGTGGCAGTCGGCGCTGGCTATCTCGGTTGTCGCCGAGCGTGTCCTGTCCAGCGTGCCGTTGCACGTTCATTGTGGAAAGCAACGAGGTCGTAATACGTTGTAATGCTCAGTAGTACAGAGCAGAGAGCCTAATTCAACCACGTTTCTCAGTCTGTGGTTGTTGCTACCTCGACACTTATCCCTTTTTCTACTTTCGTCTGCCATGCATCTGCCGGCGAGCCGCAAGCCAGCCACAACAACACAGACCAGATGTCGGCAAAACTCACAAAATCAAAAAAGTGGGTGGCATCCAGATAACGTGAGCAATGGCTGTGTGCGTGGCTGTCGACCTCGTGTGAGACAATGCCGATCCCTTCGGACGCGAGGGATAGAACATAGTCAGGGAAACGGCTACGGTCACACCGTAAGACAGGAGGAAGCAGCAGGGCGAAGCAGACGAACGCTTGAGAGAGGAATGTAGCAATGGAAGGGAGAAAAGACTACACCGTAGCTTTCGAAGACCATAGAAACGTGGGAAAGAAGGAAAAGAAGGAAACTTAAAATGAGGAGCAACAGTGGACGGCCTCGAGCCTTGCCGTTTGTGTTTGGCCGTCTGTGTCAGTATTGAGTCATCGGAGGGAGAAGCTGGCGGGCTAGAAGGGAGCAGGAAAACGAAGGAAAGAAATTGGACGATAATCAAAAGTAGACAGGCGGCGTCGCAATAATACAGCACGATATCAAGAGTCCGTATGTCAAGGTCGTACGTACCACAGTCGACAAAGTCCGTCTGTTGTGACATCACCAGTGGAATTTGTTTGTGGTCCGTGTTGGATGCCTATTTTCGATGCCATTCCGAAGGCGACCGTGGGCTGTCGGAGTGTCAAGCGACCTTGCCCCCGGATAGCCAAATCAGGCAATTTTCCGTTAGTTGCCGCAGCCAGAAAGTGGACTACTCGACAAGTTGTGGTAGCGCCGTTTAGTGGATGGCAGTGGCCAGGCCAAGCCAGGCCGGCGACAATGATGATGGAAAACGAAAACATACAAGTATGTCGTGTTCTCTTTCTTGCAGTGCAGCGTTGCACTGTCAAATACACCGCTGCGAGCACTCAAACAGTGGCCGGCGACAGCGAGGATGACCAGGCGCCTGTCAAACCCCTGCCAACGGCTAAAAGAATGAAACGTCGTTGAGATTTTTTTTATTTTTATTCAGTGTGCCTTTTGCTCGTCTTTCTAAACCTTGTCGTGAGACTCCTGTCGTCCAAGTCCAGTACTACAGCATGTCGTATTGCTAAGCAAAACCGAGAGGGCCGCCAAGGATGTTGACCAGGTTGAAAGCCGACGATGCCCGGTATGCCGAAGGACTTGTTTATGACTTACTCTGTACTGAGTAAAGTTCAAAAAAATAGCACAGCAACACCCCTGCTTCTCGAGGCGGTCACGCGGCGTGTTGTGATGCATCACAAAAGAGGCGTGCAGTACGGAGTAGAAGAAGACGACAAAATAGAGGAAGACTTCCATTTCGAGTGAGATGCGTAAAATGACAAGACAAAACGGGCGAAAAAGAAATGAGGATAAGAGGTTGGAGGGGGGATATCGAGAGGGGAAGACGAACAAACAAGGGACAAAAGAGGAAAACAACAAGGGTTCGTGATCCTGGTCGTCGACCACGAGACCATTTGCGGAGTATTTTTTCCTTTTCTCGTCGAATTTTACTTTCTTTTGCGACCTTACCTTTCCTTTCCCCTTTGCCACGCGATCAAACGGCAAACGGTAATGGTCTATTTGGCTGCATACGTAGTGCTGTTTTGTCGCGGACGCTATTGGGTTGCCCGGTTTTCTACTGCTGTCTCATTCTGCCCCTGATGGACTGTCTTACATTTGGGCAGCAACGTATGCGTTGTGGACGGCGAGAACCGTTTGGAATGAGCGCAGGCAAGACAATTTGCAAACAATTGAAACCAATTGGCACGCAAAATTGCTAGTCCCTTGGTCTACTGCAGGCTGAAGGTAGGCTCGGCAGGCATCAACAGTCGACGTGAGACAGTTTAGTTGTCTCTGGCACCTGGCGACCAGCCTTTTTCTTTCTGGTTTCGAAGCTTTCGTTCAGTCGTGCAGACTCTTGTTTCTGTTTCTGTCTCACCGTCGCTGGCACGTCCCGTCGCTGTCCGTTCCTTCACACCCTTACCCTGACAATGGACATTTAATGGCGGCAAGGTCGGGCTAGGAGAATAATCAAGACAAAGAGAAAGACGAGAAAAGACGGTGAAGACAAACTATGCCTAACGGTTCGGTGCCAAAACACAGGTGAGGCATGGCAAGTATGCAGTGACAGAATCACGATGAGAGCGAAGACGGCGAGAGGAATAATGCGAGGAGGGAGATGAGAGCAAGAGAGCAAGAGAGCAAGAGTACCTGGTGGTTCCCTGTGAAGGGGGAAGCGTCCGTTCAACAAAATTTACACTCGGAATGTCAATGCAACCCATGGCAGCTTCGGAGAGAGGAGAGGATAGAAAACATGCCCCTCCCAAGGTCCATGAGGCATATTGAAGAAGAGAAAGACGAGATGCTGATTCCAGGAAAAGAGAGACAAGGGAGAGCAGACGAAAGACGCTGGAGCCGGAGTGATCCGGAGGGACGTCGTGAATACAGACAGCAAAGGTTACAAATGTAGTAAAAGAGGAGACAAAAGAGGGTCTCGTGGGCGGGGCTGCGCCCACGAGACTGCAATGGCAATTAAGGTGATAAAGCTCTCATGGCAAGCGAGGCAAGGGAGCTCTGAAAGTGGTACCCAAAATGGTAATTTTAATTTAACAGTGACCCGATGATGTAGGCACAAGGACAAGCGGCGTGGACAGTGCGGAGCTCCAAAGTGGGAAGAGGGAGAAATCTTAAAGGGGAAAAGCGAAAAGACCAATGTATCATAAAAGAGAAAAAAGAAAAGAGAAAAGAGAAAAGACAATAAATACCAAGAAGGAA